ATGTTCTTGCTGACTTAAAGCATAAATATGTAATAAAAAAATTGCAGTCCTTTATGTTAGCATAACAATGCAGATTTTGAGCAAGTCTTGCCATCAGAACTACTACTTCCTATTTGCTACTGTAGCTGGGTCCACCCTCACACTCCAAGCTCCCAACCTGCAAAGATCATCAACATGTTGAGAATGTAGAACTAAAGCAGAGGTTTATAGAAGATCATCCATACTTGGTAAGCTAGGCAGAAGTATGCTTGCCCTTAAACTCAGTGGAAAACAGCAACTGCTTCTTGGCAACCAAAATTACTTTCGCGCCAACTAATCTATTATCAGTTTGATGCTGGAAAGAAAGAAGCCATGTAAGGAGTATATAAGACCAAGAACCTTGCAAATCACAGATGTGCAAGAGGCTGCTGAAGCCTTGATATGACTGGGCTGCTCATGTGAGTGGATATATTCTCCTTAGCCAACTGACATGTTGATCAACCCAAGCAGGATCTTGCAAGTGCCACTACTTCACTTCCAGTGGTGGATGTATTTGATAAACACCTGTAAAATGCTGCCTAACAACTTTTTTGTTGAAACAGGCTTGCTGTGAGGGAGAACCACATCACTGCCTAGTCCTAAACATGCAAACAGTCTGACCATCCCTCAGGTTATTTTTTCATCTCACCTACCTGCTACTTTCACAGCTTCTAAGACTGCCCCTCAGATACCTTAACCAGCCCTTGGGCTGTATGACTGCCAGCTTGTGGTCTAGTGCACTGCCCCAGAGCTACCATTTGACTGGATGAAATCAGGACAGACATGTACTTTACATGCTTTATTATAAAGACTTCTGTTGGATGCTTTAATTTACAATAATATCTGACTGTGTCATGAAGAATACACAGCTGAAAACATTATGAAGAGCAAAGTAAACCTTGAGATTCAGAAAATGCACAGTAGTCATCAGAGCCAACTGTAAAAACGAGAATACCCAGGCTGTGCAAAACAGCCTATCATTGGACTAAATCTCTTAGGCTGTTTGGCACAGAAACCTGCACTTTGCACTGCACTGTTTTCACATTTGTACAGAGACATTAAATGGAAAGGACAGAAGAGAACCAGAACTCTCAAGCCCATTTGGCTCATAAAGTAAAGAGCTCTCCTGTTCCAGCTTATTGAGATCACTCTAATAGTTCATCCAGTCTTCAAGAATAACAGATGAGTAAAACATAAGAAAGTCTCAGAAAACTGAAAAAAATGCACTGACAAAAAACCAAGTAACAATGACCAAAAGAACCAAAGCACTTTTAGAAGGCAAGAAAACACAATATTTCTCAACAATTGCTACTAAATCCATGACACTATGGATGGTTTAGCACACCACATGTTGCAAGATGCAGTAGTCTGCATAAGAAAATCTGTCACAAATAAAAAATGCATAATGATGTTCTAAGAGTATCCTCAGTTGGGAAATTTGGGTGTGCAGAAGCCATTTTCCGTCCATCAGAATTTAGAAAACACTGGCAAGTGTGTATCTTGGCAAGAATACAGCTACAATTCTGAAAACATGCAAAAGCTATTCAGCATTCCATAATTAGCTATCTGCCACCTTACAATAAAAGACCCTTGCAGGAACAAATATGTTTTTGTCTGTTAGACACATCTGACTATTAAGCTTTAGAAAGTGAGTAATGGCACTCACCGATTGAAAGGCATTAATAACAACGTGTTATGACCATTTAATAAAAAATAATCAGGCAATACTAGAGATTTATTTACTAGACACACAAACTTTATTAATCACTGAAGGTTCTGAACTGTTTAGAACATTACTTACAGTTCACAGAGAAGACCTTCAAATTATCAAAGGTGGAAGAAAGTGAAAAGCTGTTAAAACCACTCCTAGGGTTATTTTTATTTTTAAACAGCTGAGCAACTAGTTCATCTAAGAGCTGGTAGCTGAACTAATGAATACCAGCAGATATACACAAACCAATAGCACAGTCACTTAAAAATAGCATTTTAATTCAGCTTCCAAGGCTCTGCTGATGTCCTAATTTGTATTGCCTACTTGCTAACCTTTGTTTATTTTTATTCTGAGTTAAACTGAACATTCTTTCTGCTGATTTAGTACAAGTGTTTACTGACAGAGAGAGATCATAATTTTGTTTCTGTTTTGCCTTTCCAACAAAGTCTTAAACTTTATCTACTCGTGCCATTCCAAGGTACAACTCCAATATGAAACACGCACAGGTGAGATTTAAATGCTTTGGCTTAAATCTGACCTAGAAAGCAAGAAGTATTTGGAAAGATGAGAAGATAAATAATACAAGACATGCCTGAATTTCCCTTTCATCTTGCTGAAATCCTAAGCCAGGATAAATATAATAAGAAAAGTTTTATTGTGGAAAAACCTTCTGCAAGGTTTTCACTACCAGATCAAGAGGCATGGGACTGGTAGGAAATACTCTTCGCTACTCAGGAAGGTAATGGCCTCCAGCCTCCTCTTCACATGGTTCTGAGGGATTATCTAGAAGAGCACTGGCAGTGGCGGTTCTGATACAAAGTCAGAACACGTGTTGCAGACCAGATGAAAGAATTCCCACAGGGAAAGAACTTCCTGGCAAACAGGCGGCTGGACCAACACCAGGGACATTTTAGGTTACTCTGATACAAACAAGGACCAAAATGGAACACAATTTAAAATGGGTGAGATGAAGATCCTGTTTTAGCTGGTGGTTTAGCTTCAATTTGCTCAATGCAACTGGTACATGCCACTTGAAATACAAACCACACAGGTCTAGCTTGTACTTTATAACTTAGAAACTTAAATCAATAACAGAATCTCACATTTCCATGTCAAACCTTTATGGGTTTTTACTACATTCAAATAGTAGCAAAATAATACCCATTCTATTTAGAGCAACTACATAAAACATCATCTGTGGCTGCACTGATGCAAAAATAGTGTCTCTAAAATAACATTTACCACCACTCTCAGTGTTTCAGAAATGCAACAGCACAAACTGTATGCTTGTTTACTCCAAAGAATAAATGAACAAAAGCTACATGTGAGGTATAAGCTGAAAACACAGCCTTTAGACTCTGCTACTCTGTCCTTACTTAGTATGCTGGGTCTGCATAAGATTTCTTGTGTACTTTAAATAACATTCCATTAGGCTTTTCATGGTGCAGTTTTTCTATTAGGTCTTTGCAAGGGCACACTGTTACCAAAGCTGTGATTTAACATGTATGCCTAACTCTTCTATCAGAGTAGGTCAAACTGTTCACTATGGAGCTGAATTGATTTCTTGGCTCCAGAACTGTAAGTATCTATTCCCACTAAGAGAAGATTCGCTTACACAAAGTTCATAACATGAGGTGATGCAAAACATGCTAATTTACTTGGTCCAAGCCATGATGTATTTTAAATATTTTGTCATTTTGTGTGGGGTTAGTACTTCGATTCCTTTTACTCTTTTTTCACTTTTGGAGTTTCCATGCCCACCTCAAATCCAAATACCTTTTACTTCTGCACCAATGGTCTTTACTAGCTGCATTACACAATTACAACCCAGATATGGTTTCACTACCAGTAAATGTAATAACATGTTCTCTGCTGATTCTGCAACAGAACACTCAACAATACTGATGCATATTAAATAAAGCACATTAAATGAAGCACATACTGGCATTAACAGCTGGTTAAGATGATGAAGATGATTTAAAAAAAAAAAAGCTCCTATACAGCAGCATTCCAGCATCAATGGATTATTTTCTCTACCACAGAAGGATTCATTTCCTGAAGGCTTAGTTTGTGGCTAAGGTGCCATTATTTTCTGTGTCACTTCCTACACTTATAAAAGTCCCTGCTACTAAGAAACCATTGTTTTACACCTAATTAATTTTATTTTTAGTAATATTACCCATTCATTAAATATAACACAGTCTCCTTCCCTAACTACACAGTTTGCCTTTTGCACCCAATATGGAACTATCATTAACCAAGCCCTGGCTGAGATATAGAAGTCTTTGGAGTTGTGCTGTGACTGGAACAAGCTGCATAACTGTAAGATGCACAAAACATCTTGCATCTTGTCAGTCTCCATTAAATATCAACACTGGTCAAGAGACAGCAAAAAAATTGAAAACAATTATTAATCCAAAAAATGGCAAAAGTACAAAGACAACGTTATAATCACCTTTCTCTTACAGTCAAAAACAAAACAAAATAAATCCACTTCAGCTCTCCACAGCTGTTAAACAAACAAATACAAAGAGATAAACACGCCTGGAATGGTTACTAGTTTTCTTTTTTTATTTGAAAAGATGTTTCCACACCCATTTAACTAAAACACAGGATCCCAAACTTTCTCGGCTATCAGACCACTACCAAAACTCAGACTTGCCGGCTAGTAGTACCCAACGGATTCAAGTAGTTTATAGGTGTGATTTTCCCCGCTCCTTCTGTTCCCCACTGTTCCCTCCCTACCCCCAAAGCACACCAGGGCAGTACCGGGGCAGTCCCGCAGCCCTCCCGCCGGCCGGGCAGGAACCAGCACGCTGCCCGCAGCGCTGGGGCGAGGCAGCCAAGGTAGGGGCAGCCGGGGCGGAGGAGGCGGCAGAGCCAGGGCGCGGTCCCGTTCGCCGCTCAAGCGCCGCAGTCAGCGGTCGAGGCCGCACCGCAGCCCGGCAGGCGCGGGGGCTCACCCACGGGGCACGGCGGACACGGCCAGCGGACCGAAACTACCGCGAGCAGCGGCTACACCAGACCCACTCCTTCCTCCCTTCCTCTCTTCTCCCCCCCACCCTCGGCTAGGCCCGTCGCGGGGCGCGGCCGCAGCGCCGTGCCCGCCCTACCTGAGGCCGGCACAAACGCTGGAGCCGCGGCCCCACCACCGGAGCCGCCACCCACCGCGCACTCCGCCGCCGCACACAGCGCATGCGCGCCGTCCTGCAGAGGCTGTCGGAAAAAAGGTGGACGGTGCCGTCGGTCCAGACGCATGCCGGGAGCTGTAGTCCCGGGGAGCCCGCCCGGTGGCGGGGGTGGTGCTCGGGGCCGTTGCCCAGGCGAAGCGGCGCTGTCGGGCGGGATCGCGCCCGGCCCGCCGGGCTGCCCCTCGGGACTGGGACAGCCCGCTTGGCACCAGGAGGCTTGTCTGTGGGTGCCACGGAAGCGCTGACTTTTCCTGCGCCCACGAGTATCCGGGTCCGCGGGAGAGTCTGATGGCGTCGTCTGGCAGCAGCCACCGTCATCCTCCGGGAGCGGTGAGGCCACGGGGCGGGGGGTGCTCCGGGCAGGGAGACCAAAAGCCGCCCCTGCCGGAGCGGCCCGCGCTCCCCCGGGAGCAGCCGGGCTGGGGGCCGCTCCTGCGGGCCGGCCGCGGGTGCCGGGCAGGCGGCGGCGCAGGCTGAGCCCGGGGAGGGAGCGTCCCGCCGGGTCTGCCCTCGGCTGCTGCCTCCGCTACGCCTCCTGGGGAAGGCGGCTGCAGAATAAAGCACATTGTTAGTTCAGCAGAGCTGGAACGAAACAAAAATTGTCTCAGCAGCATCCTGGAGGGATCCTGGGCTGTCATTGTGTCCTATGTCTGGGATATGCCAGACAGGAGAGAATGGGAGTCTGCGAAGATCCTCTCTCGACTGGGGCTTTGTAATTAAGATCTTGCGCTTCGCAGAGCTACTCCGGGTAAATGCAATTTGAAAGTAAAAAGTAGCTTAAACTGGATTACGCCATGTAAACAATGCGGAGTTAGCAGAGCACATCTCTGGCATGACTGTGGCGCTTCTTGATGTGAAGTTCCCCTTGTGTGCACATGGCTCTGTGCTGCCCATTGTACACATCATTTCCCGCTGGGAAAAGATCACCTCTTCCCAGTGGAGCTTGATCTCGCTGTGATGGTAAGGTGTCCCCTTGTGAGCTTGCCTGCCTCTGCGTGGTTTCCTGCAGTCAGACCGGGGCATTGTTGTTCTGGTAGTACTTTTCCAGTACTGTTATTCTGGAAGTACTCCAGACTTCCTTTTCTGTCTGAGACTGCTGAACTGTACAACATCTGGCTGTTTTATGTATGCTTGATTCTCTGAGTCCAGAAAGTCTTATGGTGACTAATACCAAATCCCCATCTATTTCACACATTTTGTAGATCCATGAGCTCAGCGTCTCACCATATGGATCATCTGTTTACTAAAACCACTGGTTTTAGTTGTTGACAACACATGAGCGAAGGTGAAAAACCTTTCAATTAAATAAATTCTCTCACAGTATGTATATACTGTGGAAAATACACTGTGCACAGGTTGTGCTCCCCCTACCTTACTGCAAGTTGGATTCAGTTGTTTATGTACAATGCAATTATGTTTTATCCTTTTGGAAAAAAATTTAGGATGGATATTTTCTGAGAACCTTATTTTGTAAGTGAAGGGAAAAAGATATATGAGAGATGGAAGGTGGGAAAGGATTGACAGTAGTAAGTTTGTGTATTTGCTTTGAGAATAGTTTTGATTGTTGAGCATTTAAAACTTCAAAGTTTTACAACTCATTGCTTAAGAAAAAATGAGTATAAGTTTAAGAGTTTAAGAACTCTTATTCTTAGATAAGTATGTTGCTGAAATCAAGTAGTATTCAGTTAACTGAATAAGTCAAAGTGCCAGTATTCTCCTTGAATTATCCTTTGCCATTACAACAAAACAGAAAAGCAATAATGCATGTAAGGTGTCATCCTTGTGAAGTCATGGATCGAATGTAATGCATGTTTTATGGTTAGCAAACATTGAAGAAATATAGTAAATATAGGGGACCTTTCAAGTAGTTCACATGTTCAGAAAGGATGAAGGTCATTTTTATCCTCCTTTAAGCATACAGTTGTATTTCTGAGTCTGACAGCTCTTCTTTCAGAATGATTAGGCATATTAGTTTTGGAAAGTAATACAAGTTTCAGCCTTTTATTAGGTTTCAGTTGTTGAGTCTTTAAACTGGTGAATAAGGAACAGGGTGTGTGATGGATCAGATCTCAAAAGATTGTGCTCAGCATACAGCATTGCTGAAGTTATTGATTGAGCTTGATTTTTTTTTCTATAAAATACATACCCCTGCTGTGTCGTTCGTTTTTTGAATAATACTGTATTTACTGTTCTAGTTAGCTTTATTTCTTTCTTATTTTTTCTTAACCATTTGTGCTGTATTCATAATTTACGGCAATAAGTAGATTAAAAATGTTGTGTTCTAAACTTGGCAGAATTTACTTTCTGAAATATTGATCAGAAAGTCTAGAGACAGCTCCAAAGAACAGAATAATCCAAGATTTCCAATCCCTTCTGCCTTTTTCAGATACTGCATTGACTTTCAGGCATGAGAGAAATCAGTGTGGCCCACAAGAACCAGTAGGTAAGCAGTAGAAAAAAACTTTCCCCTACTTTCTGATGAGATTTTTCTTAGTTTCCAGGTTGAATAATGTCCTTTGTCAATTCAAGTATTCTAATCAAAAAGAAATGATGTTTAATACAATGTCAAGAAGTTGGTGCTTACAGTATCAAACGGAAAGTGTTGTTTGTGTTTTAAATACTAGAAATAATGATTTTTGTGTTTGTTCATTGGCATAAAAATACCACATTAAGAGATGGGGAAGAAAACAAGGATGTTGAAGTTAAAATATAGGTTTCATGTGTGTTCTGATCTTCACTGATAGTTTTACAAATTCATTGAGTATGCATGGTGTAATTCTTAACATAAAGAAAAAATGGTTTTATTATAACCTCCTAGTTTGCAATAGATCAAGATGTGAACAGAATGTTAATCACTGTTACAGTTATTGGAATCATCTGGTGTGTTCAGTGGCCAGCCTCCATTAAATCATTTGACTTAAAATTGGTTTGCACTGATAATACCTGATAACTGTTATTTTAATCTTTGTTCCAGGAAAAAAAAGTCATACCATCAATATGGCACCTGTTTTAGATTGGAAGAAGCTCATGAAAGTTGATCCAGATACTCTGCCTCGTCAAGAGGAGCTAGCGGACAGATTGCTGGATATCATGATCAAGGTGCTGGAGAAAATGGGAACATGAGGGTTCTGTCATCCCTTCTTCCCTAAACCATCTCTGGTCCTTCACATACATGAAAGATTCATTTTGTGTATTTCATTGATATTAGTGTAAAACCACTTTTGTCTCTTTTGGTAGGTTGATGGGAAAGACTTAAACACTGAAACTCCAGAAAAAATGGTACAGCTTTTTAAAATTACTCAATCACTACTGAAGGTTTGTATTAAGGCTTACTTTCTTCAATTCTGCAGATGCATTTGTTTTGCTTTGTGGGTTTTTTGTTTTGGGTTTGTTTTTTTTTTTGTTTGTTTGTTTGTTTGTTTGTGTTTTGTTTTGGTTTGGGGTTTTTTTGTTTGTTTTTTTTTGGTTTTTATTTTGTTTAAATGGAAGCACCTTTTTTTCCCCTGTTCCTGAAAATACTGCTTACTCCTAAGGTAATTTATGTGCCAAATGTGTGCTTGCACCTGAGCTGTTGGAATTTGGTAGTGGGAGGTGAAGTGAATTGGAGTAACATCATTAGATAGATGGAAAATGCAAATAAATGTCTCAAAATTAATATATTCTATACATAAGGTCTATGGAACAATATTTTAATTTATGGTAGTAGTAAATATTTATTCTTTGCTTGCTCTGCTTCTTTTCTCAGATGAAAGCTCAAGAGGTAGAACTGGCACTAGAAGAAGTTGAAAAAGCTGGGGAGGAACAAGCCAAATGTGGTAAGCAAGCTTTTTTATGCTCTTCCTAAAAGATTTGTTAAATGTGTTTTTAGGTTTTTGTTCATGCTGTTTTGTGGCTTTTTTTTAAGGTTTAGAGACCTGGACAAAATACCAACTGCTCTGAAGTCAGTTGCTTTAATGTATTGTTTTATGTGCTTTTTTCCTTATTGGGTAATTCACTGTATCTGTTCTGTTTTAACAGAAAATAATTTTAAAACCAAGCTGATAAAACTTCAAAATGAATTAGAGGTATGTTTTAAAATTTTGTTAGTGTGTGAAGTGCTCTGGTGGGGTCTTTTAATTATTTTATTTGAGACTAGTATTTAGTCTTGTAAAGTCGTGAAGTAGCGCTGCATTTTAGCAAATGCTTTTTATTGTTTTTTGAATACGCAGCAGTCTTGGATGAAGAGTTACTTGAGTTTTTCACACTTGAAAAATCCCATTTATTTTAGTCTTAGTATCTGCTTTGTTTTTTTAGTTCTTTCTACTTTGAATATCTACTATATTTATAATGTTATTTTAATGCTCATAAGATGGCGCAAAAATGTGCTTTTGGTCGTGATACTCGTTTTTTGCGTGATGAGATCCACCAGCTGGAAAAGGAATTGGAACAAAAGGAGAGACAGTTAACAGATACAGAAAAGGAGTTGGAAAAGGAGAAGAAAGTGAGTGAACAGGTATGAAGGACTTGACCTTGACATCTTTAGAAGCTGTCAAATATTTTAAAAAGTTGATGTTCTGAAAAAAAATCTGAAATGTAAAAAAAACCAAAAAGACTGATGACACAGGATTGCTGTGCATTTGTTTTTTTGTTTCTGGAGTTCTTTGTGTCGGTGATGCATATAAAGGTTTTCTGTCTTGTTTGTAGCTTGCTCTTCGAATTGAAGATGCTGAAAATGAAAACATCAGATTCAGGAGAGAGGTTAGCAAAAATTATTGCTGATTTACTGTATTTTTAACTTTTTAAATAAATATACTATTATATATTTCTGTTTTTATAATTTTTAGTGTGATGTTTAATTTTGGAACATTTCCTGTGTACTACTGCAAAGTAAATATGTTGTACATCTGCTCCAGTGAAATGTAATTAATTGGGGTCAGGAAGTCTCTACATATCAATTTGAATAGTCCTACTGTGCATTAACTTGGCCTGGATTTTGGGTTTTGAATTTTTAACATTTTTGTTAAATATTGTTTCCATGTAAATTTGTTTAATTATTGTCCTGGGGTAAAACCTTGATAATAATTTGTCAAAATACCCTTCTATATATGTGTGTGTATGTATGTATATGCCTGCAGAGGTATAACGAAAGCTATTTTATTTTGTCTCTATCGATTAATATTTAGTCTTCCAAAAGCAAAGCTAATTTCTAATATTTTTCATGCTTTGTTCTCTTGGTCTTGTTTTCTCCATTTTAATATGAAGAAAAAGCGCATAAAGAAAAAGGTGAGGCTTCTAAGACTTCTAAAAGCAGACTGTAGGAATTTGGATGGGTTTTGCGTGTCTTAGCTCTTTGTGTTAGCTCGCTAGAAATGCAACAGCTTTGTCTCTTAGAAATGGATTTAAGTTGGGATTGCTTTTTGTGCAGAATGAACAGTTGCGTCAGGATGTGGTTGACTATCAGAGGCAAATAGATTCTCAAAAAGAAGCAATTCCATTACGAAGAGGAGAGATACCTGATTACACATCACAGCTGTCCAAAAGAAGCTCTGAGCTTGTCCAGTATTTGGATGAAATTCAGGTAAAAATCTATGCATTCAATTGAGTATCTATTGGAGTTTTACTGACCATAGTGTCTTCCATGACACTATGTCAATTTACAGAAAAAGTCATGTGGAGTAAGGGAATTCATAATAAGGAATTCAGTCATACATACAGTCTGCATCTCTGAATTTGGAAGAGGTAATGAAGTTACTGACAGGGAGAGAGATATGTCTTATTTGCTGTTTGGCTTTCTTGAAATTGATAACCTAGAGGGGAAATACTCTATTCTGCGCTAATTTTGTATAAGACTTTCAAGTTTGTATTCAGGTATTAAGACAGGCACTTTCTAAAAGCAGGGGTTTTTTTATTTTTGCAGAATTTGACAGAAGCAAATGAGAAGTTAGAGATTCAAAACCAAGAAATGAGGAAAAATCTTGAGGAATCAGTGCAAGAAATGGAGAAGATGACTGATGAATATAGCAAAATGAAACTAATTGTGCAACAGTCTGATATTATTATGGATGAGTTAAGAAAAGAGAAAGATCGGTACAAATTTCAAGTAAGAACTGACTAATTATTTTGTATAATTAGGTTTCTACTGTTTTCATATTTTAGCTGAAGTTAAAACCTTCTATCTATGCAGTAAAACCACACACTCCTCTAAAGTAATGCTCTTTAAAAGTAGTGTGATCTTTGAATGTGGTACAGATTTTAAAATTTTACTGCAGACTACAAAATTTTTTTTATATAGAATGTTAGTCATGCCCTGTTCTCAAAAGTCATTCCCTTGCTGTTGTAATACTAATCTGTAATACTAATCTTGATGTAGTGTGTTTGTACATATATACTGGATAGGTCCAAACCTTTTTGTAATGTGATGTTCATCCAAATGACATGTCTAGGTTCAGGATCTTTCAGACCAGCTGAAAGCAAAGAATGAGGAAGATGATCCACTCATGGCAGCTGTAAACACAAAAGTTGAAGAATGGAAGGTATTTTTTAGTACTTTTAAAATCCTTTTTAGGAATTACTTCAAGTGTTCTGATGGTATTTTATCTTCTTTTCAGAAAATCTTATCTTCAAAAGATGATGAACTCCTACAGTATCAGCAAATGTTATTTAACTTGGAAGAGAAAATGAAAATGGTCCAACTTGATGTAGACAGAAACAGTATACTGTCCCTTCAGCAGGTACAGTTCATGTGAGACATTGCATACATAGAAATCACCATTAACTAAATATGCTATTGACCAAATATATATTTAGTCTTTTGTAGTTTGCAAATACAAAATACTTAATTTTGAGAATTAAGAGACAGATTGATTCATTCCACTGCAAAGTTTGCTTAATAGACAATGTACAAAGGAAACTTCTCTGTATGTATGTGTGTACAACCTGAACTCTTGGTAGCTGGCTCTGTTAGTTTCATATTTATCTTTTCTAACTATTATGTAGCATTTCTAAAATATGACTTTAGCTTCCACTAAATTTTTTAGTTAAGGAACGGTCTTACCTAGTGCATTATTTTTTGTGTTCGTTTGTCTCATCTCATTAACTCTGTGGTTCATCGTATGATAGAGCTAGCTGAATTTGTGTATCTCTCATATTCAGGCAAAATTACATAGTTCTTCACAATTTTGAATGCCTCCACTTTCTTAAAAAACATAATCCCCTCCCTGTCCCCCCAAAGTAATGTGGCCTGTTAGGAATCCTGAAATAGTCTCTATGCAAAGCATACTCTATGATTCCAGGATGATTTCCTGCCTTGCTTCAGGTTTTTTAAGCAAATGTGTAATGACATTTATGTTACATTTTGGGTTCTTGTAAACGGAGCAGTATGGTGAGATATATTTATGCAGATAGCTTCTCAAGAGAAAAACACCCTAAATTACAGCCTTAGGTATCAGAAAATCAGCCTTAGGTATCAGAAGAGGAAAGCAGCTGAAAGTAACTTTGATAAGCAGTTGTTTGATTTTAGCCGATTAGACGGCTATAGAGGCTGCTTTTTTAGAGGGGTGGGAAAAGGAGGGGGCATTATTAGCATGGCATTTTGAAATACTTTGTGTAAATAAGCATGTATTAAAAGCAGACATTTAAAAATTAATTAAGTTACTGCTCAGGTTTTTACTCAAAATAGACTGAGCTTGCTATCCTTCAATGTGTGTTTATATTCTATAGGGTTGTATCTAGGTTTTTACAACTTTGCTAAGTTCTGTACTTTTAGGTTTCAAATGTGGTTATATTTGTAAGAAATGCTGTAAGTTGTTTTTCAGAACATTGGTATAAAGTAAGGACCTTGAGATTTTTGTGTTTTTATTATTACATTATTATTAATGTACCTTTTATTATTATTAATGCCTGTAAATTTTTTAAAGTCTGTTTTTTATCTTTTACCACTTTTTTGTTAACCACAGAAAAAGTAGCGTTAAGATTTCTATGTTGTTTCTGAAATTCATGTACAAGTACAGAAATAGTATACATAGAAGTCACTTCCATGTATATCTGTGTATATCTATGAATGTATATGCATCCAAAACAAGGTAGTATATGAATTTTGAAAAGTTAGATGGCTTGCTGAAAGGCTGTCTGCAATTCATGTGTCATGTATGATGGATTGTTAGTCTTTGCTATCTTCAACCTGTATCACTCAGTTTCCAATGGCAATTGTTTATGAGGAAGCTGCTAAGAAACCTGTATTATCCAAAATTTTTCCTCTAACACTCTCAAACTCTGAGAATACTGTTTCCATTTAAAGTCATTATACTAAAATGCTGCTTATTTTTCTGTGTTTGAGTGCTTTATTTTTACTTTCTTTTTTATTTTTCCTGCTTTGCATTTATATACCAAACTTCTAGATAATATCTGAACTCTCTGTTGTAAGTATAGTATATTTGCTGTTCTAGAAATTGTTTTGTATTAGCTACATGTAATTTCTTCATTTCCCATGTGGTGTTCTGTATTGGTAGTTTGCCTGTCAGTAAAGAAGGATCCTTTAATGGAGTTTCTTTTTTTTTTTTTTTTGCATGCCTAGGGTATGCAAGAGCGAGATGCTCAGATAAGATTGCTCACTGAGCAAGTTGAACAGTATACCAAAGAAATGGAGAAAAATGCATTCATTATTGAGAAATTAAAATATGATCTCAAAAACGATAAAGGTAACACATCACTGTTTTGTATTAATGTCAAAATCAGAAAAATCAGAAATCACAAATTTACTTTGCATTCTTTATTTTTTAGAAAAAGGGGAAAAAATGCAGTATTTGAGCAATTTTAGTCTCTCATATTTTTTCTTAATTTTCTTTTATTAAACATTTGTGAAGAGTTTAAATTTATCCAGATTACCTCGGTGGATTTTATGGGTAATAGAATTATATCTGATCTGTAAAAGTTAGAGCATAAAATATAAGGTCTCAGCTCCATGAAGAATTGAAAAGGAGTTATAGCTTGCAATTCCAAATAAATTCTGATGTCCTTTCTCTGCACTCACTTATGATAAATATTGTTTGAAGAAAATGTTAGGGGGAAGAGAACCCAATCTCTTATGTGTAGTGTCTTGTACTTTCCTAATTAAAAAGAGCAGGGAATTAAAATCTCCTTTATAATGTTTTCTGAAGTGTTTCTATTTTGATTAATGGCAGATAGCAAGAATTCCTAGTCGCATTGTAAACATCAAAGTTTTTCTTTCCAGGTCACTCATCTCTTGCTCAGCCAAACCAAACTGGGGATATGCAAGAAAAGTTTAAAATGCTAGAAGAGAGAACTATGGAGGCTGAGAAATCAGCAGAATTGGCAGAAGCACATGCTAGAGAAAAAGACCAAGAACTTGTTGAGACTTTGAAAAGAATGAGAGACTATGAACTGGTAAACAGTTTGTCAGAGTGGAGCGGGTATTAATCATATTTTTAGGAGATTGTTTTGTCCTCCCATATTTATTTAATTGTTCAAATTAGGAATAAATAAATTTCTTTGGTGCCCTTCCCCTTCGTTCTTCCCTTTCCTATTGAATAGTAATTGGATGCTCAAGATATGATTCTTCAAAGGATCATATAGTTGGAGGACTCACTTTTGAAATATGCAAGCTGCTCTGTAGTCAAGGACAGATTTACAGGATCTGATATTTTCACTAAGCATAGTGCAGAAGAGCGATAGGGGTTGAAAAACATTTTTTCTTGTCTGTGTAATGATGAAAGAAAGATTCATGATCTATTTTAGTAAGTCTTCTATTGGTTGTTTCATTCTTACTTCCTGTGTGGGGTTTTTGCAGGGAATATATGGTTTGGAAGAAGCTGTTGCTGAAATCAAAGATTTAAGAAAGCAAGTCAAAATACGAGAACATGAGATTGAGTCATTAATTAAGGAAGTCAATAAACTTGAACTTAAAATAAATGATCTTCTTGATGAAAATGAAGAACTCAGAGAGCGCTTAGGTATGCTATATCCAGTACATGTTCAATTATTTGTTGTGTAAAAATTGAAATAGGATTCTATAATGGAAATTTTTTTACTGTACCAAATCACTGGAAATAATTTGTTATATTCTGCTAATATTTCCAAGTAGTTTTAATTAGTTTGGACAATCTGTATGATTGAACTTGGCTTACAGGTTCCTTTGAGTGAACAAAGGAGGAGGATAGGGTCTCTACTCTTTTTTTTGGTTTTGATTCCTCTTCGATCATACACTGCCTAATAAACTTCATAATATGGTACCTGGAAAGCATAACATCCTGAAGTTGTAATGCTAGATGAAACACACAGAGAAAACTTCAGATAGGCTTATTTTTAAATAGAAGGATTTAAATGTAAATAAATTTAATTTTAAGTGCCACTTTATTTTATTTTGGGTTTTGAGTAACTGAGGTTAAATTAAGCTTTCTCCTGCTCTTAATACATGGAGTATAAGATGTGTGTTTATGTTATATAAATAGTTATATATTTTTATAGATAGTTGAAATACAATCAACTATCAACAAATTATTTTTTTAACTCTACTTCTCTAGTTATGTTCTTATATAAATTAACTGCATTAACTAACATTACCATTCCTCAATAAATGACTTTGATCTATTTTGTTTCAGGTCTTGAGCCAAAGACAATGATTGATTTAAATGAATTCAGAAACAGCAAAGCACTGAAGCAGCAGCAATATAGAGCTGAAAACCAGATTCTTTTGCAAGAGGTAAGTGATAAATCCTATTTTTGTCTAAGAGCTACATAATGCATTGAACAAAATGGAATACTGATCTGTGAATAATAATATACAGATTGAAAGACTAGAAGAGGAAAGAATTGAACTGAAAAAGCACATTCGTAAGTTGGCTCAGGAGAAAGGAAGAAGAGTTGCAACAATAGGTAGGATGTTTTTGATATAAACTGTACTTTCAAAAACATTCTGTTTATATTTAAGCATAAAAATTCTGTTTATAGTTAATGTAGCTATGTTATACTTATTCATTTTTTTAAATTAAAGGGCTTAATATATTGCATTGAATCTGTAGGAAGAGGTGAGTGGTTTTTGGATTTCCTGATCTTACAGCCCAGTATTGAGTTGTGATGAGTTGTAATGCATCTCTGGGCCTTCTGTTTTTACCTTGCAATAGGTGTAGGATGATATTCCCAAAATTTCCAGTAAATCTACATAATTCATGCATTTCAAAATTCTTAAAGTTTCAATTCCATGCCACTCATGGTACCATAATGCTCAGAAGAAAAGGTAGAAAACTATAACTCAGATATAATAAATGGAGTATATTCTTTTGATTGAAGACCAATTAAAATTTCCTAATAATTTATTACTTTTACATCTGCTTGCATTTAGGGTTGGATGCTGATAATATGCAGATGACTGATAGCTTTACTGAAGAGAAGGGAAAGAATACGAGGAGGTTGGATTTCTTGAGCAATCATGGCACTGCTGAAGTAGAAGCAAAGGTAGGTTCATAAAGGAAGTTTATGAACATTTCTTATATTTCTCTTTCAAAAACTAAAACCACCTATTTTGTAAATATTGTTAAAATACTTATCTAGGGGCTTTTATTAACTGCTTTTAAAAAAATCTCAAAATTAATGATTTGTAACTTGTTTTAGAAAACTAGTGAATATTCTGTATTTTCTGTAAATAATCCTAGCAGCTCATGTAATGTGGAATGGAGAAACATACTTGCAGATAGAATAGCATCAGCTCAAATTCAGAAGACAGAGAAAAATATAGCTGAAAGCAGAAAGGCTGTGTGAAATCCTCTTAGAAAAACTTCAGGCATATGTGAGAATTCAGATCACTTGGAAAAAAAAACAAATACTTTTTCAGTTCATTTAGTTCTAAGCCTATGAGATAGAGTGGCAACTAGTTAAACACAAGTGTAATTTTGAAGCTCTTGGTGTTTTCATATTACTAGAGCTACAACTTACAAAGCCTCACAGACTTCTGGTTTGTACCAGACCACTATTCCAGCTGCTGCATGACCCAAGAGTGCTTAATTTGCTATGGACAGTTATATGGGATAGACTTCATATAACTATTCAAGTGAATCCATTTCTGTTCCTATTTAGGCAAGACATCAGTACGTGGATGGAGAAATTTTCTTGAATGCCAATTTCAAATTTGAAAATGTCTGGGACTAAAATATTAAACTGCTAAAATTAGATTCTACGTATTTTTTTGTCTAGGAGAAACTTTTTTTTTTTCTTTAGAATGAATACCTTGCAACTGAATTACGTGAGAGAGAGAGAGATTTGGAGAAGAACAGGACTGTAATGGCCAAATTTCAATCTAAATGTAAGTTGCAACCTGTTTTAAAACTAGGGAACATTATCAGGTACCTGTAGATAGTTTGCTTATTTAGTTGTCCTGTTTCTATAATTGTGATCAGAAATATCTGACTAGTAAAAGGAATCTTGTGTTTATATTGTATCTATGTGTAAATATACATACATGGTGTTACCAAACCAGTGATAGTACAGAAAACATAGTTTATTCACATTAAATACATCAAAATATTATTTCCTGGTTTTCCTTCTTGATTCAGACCTGCTAAAGTCTTTAAGCGTGTGAGTAATCCCACTTCTAACAATTATACAACTTGTGTAGTTGTAGGGCTTTTCTGGCTGAAAGGAAATATTGGGGAATTAGAGCCACTTGCTGCTTACATACATGTCTGTATTAGCTGAAGTGCACTGCTTGAAAGCTCAGAAATAAAAATAATTTTAATTTCTCTGGACAATAAGCTTAATTTTTTTTTTCCCAGAAAATGTGAATTCTTAAAATTCTTTTTGAATTTTTAAAATAGACTTGGTGAAACCACTCAAGTTTTTGCAGCTCACTCCTGGGTGTTCAGGATGATTAGCAATATTGTTTGAGTGCAGAGAATGTCCTGACAGGTTTGTTGCGGGTTTTTTCAGTTTTCAGGCTTCTCATTTTGTGCTGGAAATTGGAAATTCATTGAGAAACTACAGGTGGTATGAGTCTTGAGACTCCTTGACAGCCACATAATTTAAATGCTCCTTTTTTCTTATTCTGGAGAAGGAATTCAGGCAATTCCTAGATACCTCATTGTTACACTTAGGCATTTCCAGCACAACCATGTTTCTAAACTGGTAAAGGTCAGACAGGCTACTAAAGAAGTTTAAAGTGAAGTAAACATTGAAGACTGGAAGGTTCAGTGAAGTAAATTGTGTCCCATGAAGCATTTAATTTTTTTTTCTTTTTTTTATATTTCATCACTGAGATACATCTCCGAGATATTCCTAGCAGCTCTTGATTTTAATTTCATAATTGCTTATGCCTAGGTATGTATAATGTGAACATTCTTTTAATTTATCAAATCATTCTTTTAATTTATTAAGAATCATGATGAAATATCCTAGGAAACCTTAAATCATTTTTTCAGTGCTTTTTAACAGATTTACAACTTTTATTACAGTAAAAGAGTTATCAGAAGAGAATAAACAACTTGAACAAGGAATGAAGGAAATATTGCAAGCCATCAAGGAAATGCAGAAGGATTCCAGTATGAAGGGAGGAGAAACAGCCTTAATAATCCCTAGTCTGGATCGCTTAGTTCATGTAAGCTTGCCTTCTAAATTATTATTTAGCTTTGTAGGATTTACAGGGATAAAATGTAATGCTTTTTGCTAATTTCGTGTAGTCTAAACTTGAGGGCTCCAGTTTACTCTGAAAAAATTAAAGCTTTTCTACACTTTTTCTTTGTTATGTTAATTAACTGTTTACTGCATTAGGCAATGGAGTCAAAGAATTCAGAGGGGATCTTGGATGCTGGTGTACACTTGAAAGCCCAGGTTGACCAGCTTACAGGACGAAATGAGGAATTGAGACAGGAGCTAAAAGAGACTCAGAAGGAGGCAACAAGTTTGTCTAATCAGCTGGCAAGTGCCAATGAAAAGGTATATAATTTATTTTATATAATTTATTTTCAACTTTAAAAGTGGCTGTTCTGATAATTTAGAACAATCCACATGGTCTATAAGACAATGAATTCAGCTTATTGAACAGTGTCATTGTACAAATCTTACTGAAATTTATGTAGTGGACCTACGAATTTGTCCTTTTTAACTTCAGATCTTACTCTTATTGTTACTTTATCCTTGCAATATTCCATCATGTTAAATAAACACCAAGCATGCCTATCTTCTGGGGAGAGCTGTGTTCAAAAAAGCTCACAGATCTACTTCTTCAGAAAAGCCAAGAGTCTTGCATTTTTTATTTATAAATATGTAACAGCAATTAAGTGTTAGAAAGGATGAGTCGTTCTTTCAAGTCCTATATCTTGTTTTTAGTTGTACAGTTTATTCTGTGGAATGGTTCTTCCCAGGAAGGAATGATGAATGAAATATTGTCTTACAAGAAGCTAAAGTTAAATTTGCCTTTTATCACAGCTTTGGTGATAAACTAATCCTCTAAAACAGTGTTAGAAATGAAAAGGCAAAGATTTGTTTAGAAAAAACTGTCAAATAACCACTGCAATAATTCTTTCCAAACCTTAATCTTACTAAAGGAGTAGGAAAGTTTTAAACAATTGTGAATAAAACTGTGATGTTATGTGTAGTTGCCCTGATTGCTGGGGTAATTTGATAAATTTGGATTAATTTACTATGCATTTATTGATTTATGAAATCTTAGCATTTTTAAAGGATATTTTAAGGAGTATTAGAGTGTTTTAGAATATAAGTGAAAATTTTTATGTTTTATGTTAATAACAACTGATGTAGCAATATATTTTTCATCATCTTTTTAATCTAATAGCAAGAGTTACTTCTTTATGACATTTTTGTATCTGTCTTTAGATTGAACAAATGAAAAATGAAATTTCCTTATTGCATCAGTCAGAAGGTGCCAATATTGTCTTCCAAACAGTGAATCTTCCAGAAGGAATGGCTCCTTCAAGTGTTAATACAATTAATTCTCTGAACGAATATTTGATACATCTTACACAGGTAACTCATATATTCCTTGAAATAAAGAGTATTTGTAACATGTATCTAATTCTTTTCTAGTCCAGTAGAATGTCATATATGGACATGAGAGATGTCTCCAAAATTATTTTGGTGTTCTAACATCTACTAAACTCTTTGGGATATTCTGTAATTTAAAGCTGTAAATATTTTGATGTGCTGTAAGCCTGAAAGGTAATAGCTAACTAAATTTTGGACAACAATTCAGATTTTTTTTTGTTTCAAAACTGAATTTTGATCTAAATATTTGCCCACTCTTCCTTCTACTTCCACAGTTACACTCTTTCTATGAGAACCTCTCTCTTAGTGCTGTCTGGATTCCACACCTGAGTCTGCATGTGCAAATCCTACTTGAACAGTTTTTCCCTATAGAGCCAAGGTCTCTAGTAATTTACTGTATGATTTTTCATTCCGATATTTGTCAAAAATACATTCAACAATTGTAAATAAAGGCATAAATACATTGAAACCAATTCCGGTGATTCCCATGGGAAGCATAGCAAATAGGCGTATAGTAATGAAGAACTATTTCAGACTTGGAGTAAAAAAAAAAGTTACCTTTTTATTATTGTTAATTTATCATTTTCTGTCTTTGATAATTTTATAATTTTTTCATTAGAATATACTTTTTCAAATCTGTATGCTTATAAAGTAGAAGAGTATTTGAGAAAATGAGAAGAAATGCCACTTGCCAGTTAGACATTCAGGTAGTATTCTTTGTGAGTTAGCTACAGGTCATAGTGTTTTGAACTTTGGGGGCTGAAGCCTGCAGTGCAATTGTGCTCTCTTTCACACTGATAAATGTGAATGCTGAAGCTCATTGGATTTTTTCATCTGTTGCTTCTAAAGAAAATGCATTTTTCATATTCATAGTTCACACAGTTCATGGCAGAAGCGTCTATCATGAAAACACAAAGGACTGCCATTTTGATTAAATTGCTAGTTTCATGTTTAAAACCTACATTAATAATTTCTGTATTTTTATTTGGAAAATAATAACTAGGAACTGGAAAACAAAGAAAAGTTGCTTAAACAATTAGAAGATGCAGTGGAGGACTACAAACGAAAATTTGCTGTAATTCGTCATCAACAAGGCTTGCTGTATAAAGAATATCAAAGGTATTGCTCTCTTTACTGAATTATGAAAGTTCAATTATCTAAATATTTAACAGTCTTGAAACAAAATTTGCTGCTGTGTTGAAGTAGTTCTTTGGTTAATGTCATAAGTGTTGCCATGTTTGGATATGGACTCCATACATATTCTTTAGTCCTGTAAGGATTCAGAAAACTCCTACAAAACTGTCTTCTGCTGGACTCTTCTCGTTTTGCATGTTTTGTCATGAGGACAAATTTCATTGTGCTTTCTGCATCTGATATCTTGCACTTTACTAGAACCTGTATGATGTTTATTAGCCTAATTTTCTTTTGCTTTCAAGTATAGGTTCTAATAGGCTTTTGGGAGTGGAGAGGAGGGGAGGGAAAAAAGCAAATTGCTGTCCAAATACAGTCAGAGATGTCTGAAAATTTCAGGTTGTTGGGATTTTGTGGTTGGTTTTCTTTTGGACTCCTAGTTGTTTTATATGCTTCAATTAACCTGAATTCCTTAAAATTATTCTTATGGTCAAAAAAATTTAAAAAGTGTTTTCATCTGTTGGGAGGATAGGGATGAATATGATAATTTGGATTTTTCAATTCACAAACTATTAGTTGGATACTCCCTGGATTGGAATGAACAGTCACCCGAATGGCTTCTGGAATAAGGGTTTAATCTTTCAGAAACTTGTGTTTGTTCTTTGAATCAATTAAGATTCCCAGACAATATTATCTCTTTTTTTAGTCATTAAACAGACAGTTTTTATTGAAGGCTGTAATATACTGCCTCATTTACTACTAGGTGAGATAACTCCAATATCCAACAGGGATAAAATGATCATTCAACGTTCCTTCTCTAAACCTGGTACAGACAGAAATTACAGAAGGAGATTCTTTGACTTGGCATCCCATAAAAGTCACTTCCAAAAAATTTTCTTCAATTCTCTTCCATTTTACTCCATTATTTAAGAAACTTAGATACGTCTTTGGAGAGAAAATACCACTTCTAAAATACCCTTGATAAACCATTTTTTAAACTGTCCTAAACTATGCCATATAGTCTATAGGAACTTCTTTATTAGACATGTATGAAAGATCATAATTTTTTTTTCTCACAAATAAATAAATAAAGAAGGACAGAGGAGAGTAGTTTGGACCAAAGTGAAGCTGAATAAACTGAATCTTTTTATGTTTTGGGTATGGTTTTCACAGAAATAACAAGGGTGGGAAGTTACATCGTTTAAGCATCTATAATATACATAATGTACATTTGAAGAACAAAGAAGACACTGAAGAATTATTTTCATCATTTAAGTGGCTGTAGGCTAAACAGGGGATATTGTTTTTAGTAACCCATCTACAATTTATCATGGGCTTTTCAAATCATATTGCTGCTAAAATTAAGTACCTTGGTTTTCAGTATTTCAAAATTTCTTTTGAAGTTATAGTTTTAAAAATCATCAGCTCTTTCATTAATAAATGATTTGGTACTGTTTTAGTCAAAAGGAAACCTGGCAAAAAGAATCAGAAAATATTAAAAAGGAAATGAAAAAACTGGAAGAGGAAAAAGAAGAGGATGCTACGAAAATAAAGGCATATTCTGTAAGTAATTTTGTTACTTTCAATTTTCAGAAATATTTTAGGACATAGAACAGAGGTTTTAATACACTGCTCTAGTTTGTTAGATGGGGAAAATGTGTACACAGACCTCTTGTGCCTGTCCCAGGGTGCTGTGTATGCATGGGGGTGCTCCAATGTTGTGTGTGCCTGTTGGCCTTCCTGCAGTTTGCTAACCTATGCACTGGGGAGAAACCACCCCAAGAGGTCATATCACACTCCTGATGAGGTGTGGGTCCCTAATTGTTGCACTTAGTACTCTCAGAACATCATCTGGAGTACTGAGGTATGGTGTCTAGCAGGGAGGAGTCACTCACAAATGTGTAGAAGATAGAGGGACAGTAGAGAGACTTCTGAAGCTGAACTAGGTTATGAGTGCTGCATTATAACCCTTTCTGCCCCTGCTGTTAGAAGTTTTTATGCTTTTTTATGCCAGTTTCCAAGCTGACAACTTCTTTATTTGAAGTCTCTTATTTTATGGTTACTCTTCAGTCTGGTTAATGGTGATCTTTCTCTTGAACATTGTCAGTTTTGAGCAAATGCCTTCTAAGGCAGGTTTTCTGTTCACACACACGCTTTACACCCACACTGCTCTCTGAGCAGCAATTGTTACCCAGGCTTTGATTGGCAGGAGGAGCATGCAAACAAGCCCTTGGAAAACACATTAGTTTACACTAAGTATTGAGGTATTACTTCCAGCTGTGTCTTATTATATGTATCTGTTAATGTATATGAATCAGTGTTTCAGCAAAACAGGAAACAATTCTTTTTACACACGCATGCAAACACGTGTGAGGAGCATGCAAACAAGCCCTTGGAAAACACATTAGTTTACACTAAGTATTGAGGTATTACTTCCAGCTGTGTCTTATTATATGTATCTGTTAATGTATATGAATCAGTGTTTCAGCAAAACAGGAAACAATTCTTCTTTTTACACATGCATGCAAACACGTGCGTGCACACAGACACACAAATGTTACTATGGAAGGGATCCTGTGGTTTTTTACTTTACAAGTACAGGTTTGATCTTCAAAGTAGGAGGTTATTAGGGTTTGTTTGGAACCACAGGACTTCTGTTTTGTTTAGAAAATTGTTCCAATGCATTTATTTTATTCTAGTATAAACAGGAAGACTGATGACAGTGAATGCAAAGAACCATTCTTGTTCTAAATTTTGAAAGTGTCAGCATTAATTAAAATTGCAGTTAGTCAGTGAAATGTACTTAGCTACTGGTTTTGAAGATTCATCTTTTTCTTAGAATACTGTATGTTTGAGCCTATGTTGAGTGCACATATATTTTATTAGCAAAAAAAGAAATTATTTCAGAAAAATTAATGGAATTTTTCCACCTAGATTAAAAAGTATACAAGAAATCTTGTATGTATATACTACACAATGTAGTTGTGCTTTACCATATTTCTGTACAAAGGTCTTGTTAAAAAAATGTTTTACAGAATTTACTTGATGCACTTGAGAAGGATCCTGATGAAACAAAGAAAGTACTTGCAGAAAATAATAGAAAAATAACTGTTTTACGAGTTAATGAAAAATCACTAACAAGGCAGTGTACCACTTTACTTGAAATGGAGCGGCACCTCAGAAAAGAAAATGATAAACTAAAGGGTGAAATAACACATATGGAGACTGCAGTTACAGGGAAGATTGGAAACTTGCAGCGATTCAAGGTATGGTTTATTGTAGTAATAGCACACATTGTTTATTTTTACATTTGGGAAAGAAATACCCTTTGGTTTTAAATGGAGTTATTACTAGTTTCTTGAATGCATTTTCCAAAAGCTTTCTAATTGCTGTTACAAATCTTGTAGAAATATTCTTTGTATTTATATAAGTATTGTGACCTGGACATGTTCAATAAGTGGGTCCATGTGAATATCATATGGTTTAACAAGACCAAGTGCAAGGTGCTGCACTTGGGTCAGGGCAACTCCTGGTACCAATCCAGGGGAATGAACAGATGGAGAGCAGCCCTGCTGAGGAGGACTTGGGGGTGCAGGTGGATGGGAGCTGGACATCACCCAGCCATGTGCACTTGCAGCTCAGAAAGCCAAACGTGTCCTGGACTGCATCCAAAGCAGCAGCGTGACTGCTATGAGGAAAGGCTGAGAGAACTGGGATTGTTCAGACTGGAAATGAGGAAGCCTCTGTGATGACCTAAATCTGGCCTTCCTGTATCTGGAGGGAGCCTACAAGAAATATGGAGAGACTTCTGACAATGGTATATGGTGACAGGACAAGGGGGACAGGCTTCCAAGTGGGGAGAGTAGATTTAGATCAGATGTTAGGAAGAAATTCTCAGCTATGAGGGTGGTGAGGCACTGGCACAGGTTGCCCAGAGAAGCTGTGAATGCCCTGTCCCTGAAAGCATTCATGGCCAGGTTGGATGGGGCTCTGCATAACCTAGTCTAGTGGAATGTGTTCCTGCACATGGCAGGGTGGTTTGGAATTAGATGATCTTCAAGGTGACTTTCCAATTCAAACCATTCTATGGTTCTGTGATCCTTGCATGAAATCAAATCTTACCTTTTGGTCTTACAGGTTTTATTCAGGGCCTATATTCATTTTACAAGATATGTTTTGACAGTGCCTTGAGAGGCAACTGTTGATAAAATTACCCAGAGAGTTAGAATATCAGAAAAGTTTTGTCAGTGTTTATTACAGGTGGTTTTTGAAGATGAACGGTAATTTAGAAAAACTAATATCTAAAGTGCTGTGTTAAGTATTATTCTTTTTATGTGGAGTAATTTTATATTTCTAAGTGACCTTAGAACTATTGTGTTGATTATTTTCGTAGGAGATGGCTTGCTTTAAGATTTCAGCTCTGCAAAAAGTGCTGGACAGTAGTGTGCCATTGTCTGAGCTAGAAGTGGCCAATAAGCAGTACAATGCATTAACTGCTAAATACAGAGAGATGTTACAAAAAGATAATTTGCTTGTGCAACGGACAACAAACATGGAACACATGGAGGTAATGTTTGTGTTACATTTTAAACCTGAGGGAAAAAAATGGGCAGACAGAAAAGCATTTTGTTGTGGCTCTTTGTTTATTTGTTTGTTTGCTCTTTAAACTAAGTTTTGGGTGTGTTCTCTCAGAAATTATTCTTAGTTCTTTGATTACTAAAATGAGACCAGCAGAAGGAATATTTGCTATCATCTTCGGTTTTGGAGGTCATAAGGAAAGTAGAATTAATGAAAACAATTGGAAAGCTTTCTCTCAAAGTATGTGCTCTTACTAATTCCCAGCTTTCACAGGAATGAAATGGTAGTTCCAAAAAGAGTAAAGCTTTGGAATTTTACTTCCATAAAAGAGGCCAAAGATGGTTTATTATGTGCTTGCAAAATATTGTAGGTACTACAAATATTTAACACTTCTTGTGAAACTTTTATTCCAAAGTAGAAGGGACTTTCTTCTCAAGAAACTGTGAAGTTGGCTTCAAAGATATGTTACTACCTCCCACTTTTCACAGGCAGTAAAGAATGAAGGACTCCTATGTCTATTTTATGGAATTTTGTGTGTATGAAAACTTGCATTACCTATTTCAGCAACTTCATAGAGGTAGAGAATAATATATAAACTAAAAATGTGTCCAGAACACTCAAATAGAAAATTAATATTAAGTATTCAGTTAGTTTTTTTGGTTAATGTGAAATTTGTATTTCCATTTGGAGGAGTGAAGGAACATTTACAAAAGTAACATTTGGCATCATATTAGATGCCTAAAAGAACTAAAAGAAATGTGATCTGTCTCAAAGAGGTATTTATGTGCAACATGAAGTGTTCTTTGTGGGATGAAGTAATCTTCCAGAATTACTTCTTTGCCACTGTTAATGAGGTGCTTAGTATGACAAACAAAGATTTTTCTCATCTAATTTTAGCTGCTGTAGGAATCACAGTTGGTGGTAATAATTATTCCCAGTATTCACTAGCTGTGACAGTAAGATACAGAGCACAAAGACTAATATTTTTACACTTTACAAACATATACACTTTACAAACATATACACTTTACAAACATATAGTCTTCTGTTGCCATATATGTAGGTTATGGTCACGCACAAATAAAGTCTGTTAATCTGAAAGATTTTGTAGATACTAAACATGAAATCTGCTACAATTAAACAGTTTGCAGTTATGTTGCATCTTTTCTGTCACATAGCGTGAGAATGAATCCTTGAAAGAACAGATAACTTCGTTGAATAAGGAACTGGAGATCACAAAAGAAAAACTTCACACTGTAGAACAAGCGTGGGAGCAGGTTACTAAACTGGGCAAGTATGAAAGTTATATTGCAACATTAAACACCAAATGGTATATCCTGTATAAAAATATTTTAAAATATTTTAAAATTGATGTGTCTAAAATAATGAAAATAAAAAAAATCATAACTATTTTATGTCTTTCAGTAATGATGTCTATTTTTGTGCTGAATTTTTTTGTTTGTAAGTTTAATTTTACTAAAAGCAAGTTCAGTATTTTTTTCATGAAACTCTTCCACTTTGACTTTTTTGGGTTACTGGGTCAAGGGTTTAAAAGCTTTTAATGCAACATCACCTGAACTTTTTCTTTCTTAATATGTTCTAACTTGATTGTCAGTCATAGTGTTTCAGAGTTTGTCAAGAAAGTAAGTTTGTTTTGCTGGTTTCATGCCTTGTAACAAAGTATTCTTTCTTACTATGTGGGGTTTCTTTGTATAGATTTCATTCCTATTATTCAGCCCTGTTGCTTTTGCAGATTTTAAATTAAATTTCCTGAAGGTTTGCCAGTTGTATTAGGCATAAGGTGAAAGGCTACACTGAAAATAGCTATCAGTCTCAATAACCATGGTTGCAGATACATGCATTCATAACTGATAGCAGTATTTTATTAAAGTTGTATACTTTCCAAACATGTAGTAAGGCAAGATAACTGTGCATCCAGATGCACAGATGTTATGATAAAGTTTACTTGACACAGATAAAGCAAAACTCATGTTTGGTTTCATGGTGGAAATAATTTTCATAGTTGAATCAGTTTGTGTTTCTTAATTTAAATATTTTTTTCATGTAGGGGATGACAATGCCATGGACAAAGCCACAAAAGCAATAACCAACAGTGAGATTTTGTCCATTTCTAAGAAAATCACCATGTTGGAAATGAAGGAACTAAATGAAAGACAGAGAGCAGAGCATTCACAACGAATGTATGAGCACTTAAGGGGCACTGTAAAGCAAATAGAAGAACGTAATTTTGAATTGGAAACAAAATTTGCTGAGGTAAATGTCTGAGATTTAACAACCTAATTTACTACATCTTAAAAACATATTTTTGAGCTTTTCAAAAATTATTTATATCAATAATATCAATTTATGTCAATAAATAAGTGTATAAATGAGCTTATGATGCAAAAAATAGTTTTGCAGGCTTTAAGAACTGCAATTTAGCATATGCAAGACATTGGTAAAAATAGAACTGATTAATTTGTCAGTAGTTTATTTCAAAAGTTAGTTGACACGATGAGCATCTTGACAGATGCTAGTTTCCTAGTTTTGTCAGCAGACTGCAAGAAAAAAGTCCCTTCTAAACCTATTTTTTTTTGTCTAATCCATATGATCTCTTTTTCTTATAATTTTTTCCTTATAATTACCAATTATTCAAAAAAAGGTTAGAACTTTACATCCCTTGTGCAAATGATAGTGTTGTGATTCTGCTACAGACTGGTTACATCTTATGCCGTACATTGTCTACAGTACAAAAATAGAAGTCATGTGCCACTGAAGCTGATGAACCTTAGTATTCCTGTCCTATCAGTCTTAAACGTGTTAGATATTTTTGTCCACACTATTCATTTTTGAATTTTTTGTAGAAATTTATTTTTTACTAGCAAGAGACTTTATTATAGTTTCTACAATAAAATTATATATAGGAATTGTACAGGTGTGTTCTTGTGACGTTACTGGTCTGTAATTTAAGCACAAGGGCAGAAAGAGAATAGTTGATAGGAATGCTGATAGATTGCATTCATTTCCACTCCATGTCCTTTGCTAGAGTGTAGTCTAACTATTTTAGATTGCTGTTGTGTGACTCCCTCTTTCTCTGATGTTTTAGTAATGTTTGTTACATTATTTTGGTCTGATTTAGTCTGGGAGATGGAGTAACTGAAAGTGTATAAAGCTTTTCAGCAGCAGTATTGCTAAAGCCTTTTCTGACGGGGCTCATTCTTTTATTTCTCTAAGGAATGCTTTAGGTGATGCACCCTAGTGTCACATTTTTCATATACTCTTTTGTATATATTATTTACCTTGTGATACTTTTATACTTTAGGTCTGATGTTCTTCCTTCATTCTGAGCTGATGAACTAATGCTATTCTTTCTTACTCATACCTCTGCATCCCTCTTTTGCCTCATTTCTGTAGTTCCAGGACATACATTTTCTGTTTCATATACCCCTGTTGTCAGTACCTCCTAACCTGGTATAATTGCCTTTTTTTGTTTGAGAAAGATAACAAGATTGTGTGGGTGTAATTAATGAAAGCTGTAGGTAATACCAGTTTAACAACTGATAACTATAAGTCTACTATACATCTTTTTAAGTCATAAATCAACTTCAGCATTCTACTTTTAGTTTTCCAGATACGTGAGGATACCCTGCACTTCTTTTTGTTTGTTTAGGAAATCAGTTATTTTATTAAGTAGTGGTATCAGAATAATGGGTCACAACTGTATGTACTGATTAAGTCATGGGATTTCTCTTTGTTAGGATTAAGATAGATTAAGATTATTTATTTTAATCCTTTTTGGTTTGAATTGAAATATTGGTTACTCAGTATTTGATAATTAACTTGAAAAATCAGGCTGCTTGAAAGAATATAATTTAATTAAGAAAGGTTTTTTTGGAAGGAATAAAAGAACACAGTATTGTCAGTCCTGGCATTTATAACCTCTATTTGTCTTACCAATGCTAATATAAAAGGCAGTATATAAATATGTAAGATCTTCATTTCCCTAAGTGTTTAAAGTCTTTTTTAAAAAATTTGTTGTTAGTTTTCATTTTAGTTTAGGAGCAAGTTATTGCAGTAGTGGTTTTAAGAAAATTCACTAATAAAAATTGTATTTAGTTTAGAATCCTTTTCTGTGCCAAATATTGCTGTATGCATAGAATCCTTCAAACAAAAAAGATGTGTGAACAGAGGGTAAGGGAAACTGGTTTTTGAACTCAACCTCATCACAGCTGAACTATGTTTTGTAATGACTGAAAAAAAAAAACCTTTTGGTGCTGCTATTTCATTGCAGCGTTTGAGCAGTTATGTGCTTAGGATACCATTTTGTTTGTTTCTGGTTTTGATTTTTTTAAGCTCACCAAAATCAATCTTGAGGCACAGAAAGTGGAACAGGAATTAAGGGATGAACTGTCAAAAAGTGTAAGTAAGGCAGTAAGTGATGCAGATAGACGACAAATTATGGACCTAGAGAAGCATGAGATGGAGCTCAAGATTGAAGTTTCAAAGTAAGTCTTGAATTTATAAATTTTGAATTAAGTATGATCAGAAATGTGTGAAAATTAAGGCATACTAGTCTCTTACATAATACACTACTTGTGTATCAGTGACATGCAATTTTCAATGCCTGTTTTTCTGAGCATATATATATGCCAAATTTGGCATTGAAAATGAAGCTTTTAATTCCTGACTATAAAGAATGCAATTTGTTTCATTTTAATTTGAACAAGGAATTAAGGGCTGGCTGAGATAGATAGGGTAAGTGTGCAATTAGATACTTATACTAGTATTTTTACACTAATTGAGGTTGATTTTGTTTCTGTGCCACAACCCCCATTCTGTGTATGAAAATCTCGTAGAACTAATTGGAAAGCAGTTCTTTCTTTGAAAGACTCATATCTCAAACATTAATGTACAGTAGGAGGGAGGATTTCCATTTACTTAGAAGAGATTAACTTTGCAGAAATTGGAAAATGGAGCTTTTTAGATGTGTTGCTATGAACATTTGTCTTTGAGTAATTAATGTAATCCTGTTATATGCCTAAACCAGCAAAATCTGTAGGGATACTTGCACTTTTTGGCACTGCAAGTAAGTTATTAGATTTGGTGAAGCAGAGAAGGGAATTGAGAATGAAATGTTTTGAGCATGTAGAAAATGTTGAGTATTTATAACCTGAAGCAGGAGAGAAATAGAGGACAGAGATGATTAGGTTAGGTAAAAAACCCATGGCATTGTTTTCCTGGAGTAGGTTACTGCTAGCAAACTTCTGTATGATGTATAGGAAAAATGGCCTGTGAAAATGTTGAGAAGCAATATAGAAGAATTTTCTTAAACAGATCTCTAAGAGTAGAGAAGAGTATGCTGAAAAGAATGAAATCCAAATGTTTTGATATGAGGAAACATACGAAGTATCTTTTCTTACTGTCTTCTATGTAGAAAAACTTAATAGGTTATTCACTGATTTCAAGTGACACAATACTCTTGTTTTCTCTGGAAGGTTAAAAGAACTGTCTGATGTAGCACAAACACAAGTTGAAGCTCTGGAGGCACGCCAGCAATACAGAGATAAAGAAGTGGAATATCTTAGAATGCAAATTTTAGATTATCAGGTAAAATTTAACCTTTATTAAAACTGCAGTTTGGAATCTTTTTTTCCCTGGAGTGAGAAGAAATGAAGTAATTTTTCAATGAATTAGAAAACTGCAAAAGTATTTCAGAAGAATTTTAGCAAGCTAGTTCTTGTAGTGCCCATACCCTTTCAAAAGTTCCATATTACATTAATTTTTCCCTTCTCTATTTATTCCATTTCTAGCTGTGCAGCTATTACAGATCCTGACATTTTTCATGTTGTTTACATAATATTAATTCCTGTATCATCAATAGCTCATGGTCAAGGAAAAACTCATGGTGAGGAAAGCCTGATTGTTTTTCTCAAGCGAGAAATTACTTGTAAACATTGAAGATTTGCAATAGGTTTAATATTTTGTTATTAGCTAAAACAATTTATTGGAATTTGGTTTCACATTATGTAATGGTTTGAGACCTTAACTCCAACACTTGTGTCAGCTTTGACATTACCATATTTTCTAAGTGTAGGTACATATTTCTTCCTCAGTTTCTGGTATTTTGGAAAGAGACCATTTTTAAGATCAGTATCTGAAAAGCTGTACTTCAATGTGTGGCTGTAGAAACAATAGTGGAAAAATTAAAAGCCTCTTACAGGCTGATTCTTACCTTTCTCTGTGGAATAAAATACATGCAATATATAACACATATATATTAAAAATATCTTGTTTATATTTACATATAAACTGTGTTAACATATTCTGCGTTAAAATGAAAAATAAATTTGTTCTATCAATTTTGTTCTTAGGCACAATCAGATGAAAAAGCAATTATTGCAAAACTGCATCAAGATATCATAGCCCTTCAAGGTAGTGAATCTGTTGCTGTAGACCAATTGGAGAAGTTTAAGTTGAAACTACAGAAGATGGAGATCCATAATCTACGTCTGGAGCAGAAGCTTGATGAGAGAGATCAAGCGTTATATTTTGCCCGACTTGAAGGAAAAAATAGAGCCAAGCATCTACAACAGACAGTTCAGTCTTTGCGGCGACAGTTTAGTGGTGCTCTGCCTTTAGCACAGCAAGAAAAATTCTCTAAAACAATGATTCAGCTACAGACTGACAAACTGAAGGTCTTGGAAGAAGTTCAGCATGCCCAGCAGGAGCGTAGAAATGCAGAAAACAGAGCATTAGAGCTGGAGTTGAAACTGAAAAGTTTAGAAGAATTAGTAAGTGCATTGAAGGATACAAGAGGAGCTCAAAAGGTTTGTGATTTTATGGTTTTGAATAGCTTTGCTTATCTGATCTGCATTTAAATTTATAAGTTTCAGTTCAGTTTGTTTTCTAAATATATATTTTAATGTAAAACTTACTGATTTCAAAATGCACTGTTAGAATATGACAGCTATCATATTTTGTTTTCTGTAAAAGTCAGTGCAGTTATATGTACTAATTATCTTCTTTTGTGCCCAATTAAGGCACATAGGAACTACACCCTAAGTGCAGTTATATTAAATTGAATTAATTAAATGGAATCTAATTAAATAATGAAATAAATTAAATTAAATACAGAGTAGCATTCTGAAGTTTTGTTCCATGAGCTTGCAGCAAAATCTTCAGATCCATGTCTTTTTAAAATAAATCCAGGGGCAGTAATTTAGACAGCATGGTTAGAAATGTTACTATGTTCATGTAATTCTGCTTAAGCATATTTTGCAACCATAAGCAATGTCGCCCTGAAATCTTAAGAATGCTTTCTCACTTCTCTTCAAGATCACTGTGTATTAGATAACATGATTGTATCTGTTGTGACTAAAGTTGTCTGCATGTAAGCAATGCTTTTAATGCTCTGGGATGTATTAGTTTTAAGTCAGTTTTCAAAATATTTTTCTAGAGCATTTTGACATAAGTATGTCTGTTATTCTTAGTACACGTGCATTTTTTTGAGCACATACAGTTTTTAATGGTTTTGAATTCTCTTGCTCTTTTAGAAAATACAAACCAAACTTCTTGCTTACTATTTTTTGTTCAGTCTGGACAGATACATAAGGTATAACTTGAAAAATTTGAAAATTGTTTACAATGTACTTTTGTCAGTATAAGGGAAACCTGTTGCCTCTCCAGTTGGCTGCTGCACTTATCAGTCATTCCCCTTGCAGTTTCATACTCTTGTCATACTTCCTCTCTCAAGACAAGTGAAGAGCCTTAAAAAGGCAGAACATGTGTCTTCCAGTTAGTTTGAGAAGTTCCATCCTGCCTCAAAGCCAAAGAGTGAAGCTTCATCTAGTTGGCCTGTGGTAAATGATAATATACTGTGTGTTATTCATTGCAAGGTAATTGTGTGGCACATGAAAATGGAGGAACTCCATCTGCAGGAACTTAAACTCAGTCGAGAGTTAGTCAAGCAAAAAGAAGAGGTGAAGTATTTGCGTAATATAATTTCTGAATATGAATGTACAATCAGTAACCTGGAAGAAGAAATTGTACAGCAGAACAAGGTATGTATTCCTGCATGCTATTGAAAAAATATACTATTCCTTATTTTACTAAGTGATTTTCTAATATTTTTTAACACAGGTGTTTGTATCTTGGTTTTATAATCCTTTTTAATAGCTTGTTTGAGTGTTTTATTTCTTGGTAACTATTTTTTCAGTTGACATCTATAAAATTCCCCTTGCCTTCAATAAATAAACTACCTCTATCAAACATTTGTTACAGTTTCATGAAGAAAGGCAAATGGCTTGGGACCAGAGAGAAGTAGAACTACAGCGCCAGTTAGACCAGTATGATCATCAACAAACTGAAATACTTAGCACCGCTTTAAAGGTACATGCACTAAAAATAGACACATAGGCATGTTTTTCAGAGCTGTCAGATTACATGAATATGAATCTTTCTGTGCAGTTTGAAGAGGCTGCAGGCTCAGTTCCAGACCCTAGTTTGCCAGTCCCACAGCAACTTGAGTTGGCTTTAAGAACGATTCAGGAACATATTCGAACAATCCTGGAAACTAGGGCAACCTGCAGATCACTGGAGGAGGTAATTTAATGTATAAATTATAATTTAACATGACAAAATTTGTATTTCCATATGCTTTTACTTTTTTTTTTTTCCCATGAAAAATATCCTTTTTAAAATGTCATTTAGACATGTTTAATACTCAGAAAATGTGAATAACATAATCACACGATGAGTAAAATGAAATATTTTTTCCATTGGAAAAAATCATACATGAGACTTTTGTAATGTTTTTATTCATCCATTTAGTAGGTTCAGATGTGTCTTGCTGTACAAAATTCAGTTGACTATACGTAGCTAAATTTAGCAAGTGCTACAAAATACTTTTATCTTGGGTTGTTAAATTAATGCTCTTCTACAGAAGATACTTTGTGGTTCTTAAATAATTGGTAAAACACCGGCTTCTTCATTTGGTAGGACAAAATTAGTTGTTTAAGTGTCATGTGCCAAGCAAATACATAAAGACAGTAATGGTATTCCAGGACATTTTCATCTAATAGTAATCCCATACAGCTGGAACGCAGTACAAAGTGTTTTGTGTTTATAAGTACATTTAGATAAATCTTTCTGGTACATTTCTTGAAAAGTAAGATCTTTTTGCAGTGTTTGAATTCTGGAAATGCAGAAATTGCCTTTTGTTGTAGAAATTAGAAGAAAAGGAGACCGCTCTGTGGAAAGCTGAACAAAATGTTATATCAAGAGACAAAGTTATAAATGAATTAAGACTTCGATTACCTGCAACATCAGGAGAGAAAATAATGGCTGAATTAAGCAAACAAGAAGATGACTCAGAGTACCGTCATGCCATTAAAATTGCTCATCAAACCATTGCAAATATGCAAGCAAGATTAAATCAAAAGGAGGAAGCGTTAAAAAGATACCAATATATGCTTGCTAAAGCAAGAGAGGTAGTTAAACCTTTTTTCTGAAATGTCTTCCATTTTCAAGTTGTCTTAGTTGATTCTTTGTTTTCTCATTGCTAGCGAAGTCTAAAAATAACAGTTTCTGATCTCACACAGAACAGAGACTTTATATGTGGGAAGTTCATATAGCATTTTTTAGCTTTTTAGAATAGTAGGTTTGCTTAGTCAAGAGGTTATGTATATAATGTCTGTCTAGGAATTAAAGTAGTGTGGCATGAAGAAAATGAAAATTCTGCTGAAGTGGTCTCAGTCTATTTTGTATATTTCTTTGGGATTTTTCAGTATTTGCAGCAGATCTCTTGATTGCATCTGGTAGTGAATTTGGCAAGTATAAGAAAGACATAGATTTATGGATAACATTCTTCTTAAAGCATATTTTAAACTAAAGCATTTTTTAAAGCATAAGCAGTGTGCCTAAGCATACTTTATATTATTTAAGCATAATTCATACTATTTTTTCTTTATATCCATAAAGTATATTTTAAAGCAAAAACGTTTTGTCAAAGAGGCACTTCAACACCAAACATGCATTGGTTTTAGATCAGAAGTACATTTCCAAAGCAGACTTTCTATCATCTTCACGTAGTGTGCTTTGGTTGACACATGGAGCTCTTTCTTTTGGGGGAAATCAAGGGGTTTTGTTTGGAAAACACACAGAAGATGCAGTCTTAAACTGAGCCTTAAAATGTCTTAAAATGTAGTCTTAAAATGTGTGCTAGCATTCCATCTATGGGATCACACTGTAGTCCAAGGTACATAAACTGGAAATGTCCCAGGTATGGATATTACTGTCCACACTGATAGTCACAGCTGGTGAAGACCAGCACCAAGTGTTTTGCTCTCCGGCTTCTGTGCTTTTACATCATACTACTTGCTGCATAGTTTAAACCTGCAAGAGTTGATTTTTTCCCCCAGTAGTGTAAAAAGGAAAAAAGAAAATAATTGATTATAGCTAGAAGAAAAGAACTTGAAAAACTTCCAGAATTAGAGGAAAAATCTGGAGAGCATTATTGAGCAATGAGTAAACAAACAACTTGAAGGCACTGCAGTTTCACAACTTTCTGGGATAGAGTACATCATTTGAGTTTTATTTTGAACTAACAGGAACAAGAGGAAATAGCAAAGAAGCATGAGGAAGACATAAGAATTCTACACCAGAAGTTAGATTTGTACACTGACAATTCCCTTAATAACTTCAAAGAGACAGCTTTGGTGAGTTATGTATTTTAGAATTTGTGAAGTTGTTCCTATATTTTTTACTTTGTTGCTGGAAAGAACAGTTTGGCAGTCAACAGTGAGTAATAACTGGTGATAGAAAAAATAAAATGGTGATTGATTTGTGATGGTTGCATTGTTTTTGAGGCATTAGAAGGCATGAGAGGCATTAGAAGTCAAGTGTAAAAAACCAGTTACCACCTCAGTATATATAGGCATTTTGCATATTATTCTAATTATGGAGAATTCTAGGGAGGAGAGTTATATATTGCATTCTGTTCTTCTCATTCTATGTATGGCTATATTAAGCTATCTATTTAAATTCAAAATTCCTCTCTGCACTTTATATTCTGCTGTATTCTATTGATCAATAGATGTATAAAGCTCTTTTGAAACCAGCATAACCTGTTTCTCTGTGAACTAAGGATCACATTTCAGTAAATAAATGGTAGCTATTAATGCTTGATTATATTTAGGAATGAGTTAAAAATGTATCAGTAATGCTTATCTTTTGCTTAAAGCTTAAAATGTTTTTCACTTCCATTTGTTGTGTTTTACAGGAGTTGGGGAAAAAGACTTCTATGTCCCTATCCAACAACAAATATTTTCATCACTTAGAGCAAACTGTAGCAGAACAGGATAATTCTCTTGCTTCACTTGTTGGAGAATTAAAGAAAACATCATCTGATTTGGAGAAACAAAAACAAATTACTGTATCGAAAATCAATGAGTTTGAGACACTCAGAGCCCAGTAAGTTTTTAAACTATTAATATGAGGCACATTGCAGTGGTTCAAGTCAATTATGTATTGCTGCTACAGGACTGATCTATCAAATTGAATGTGTTTTTGCTGACTTTAGGATTTAGCTGAAAAAAATCTCAAATGCATTAGTATAGTTGGCAATTTTAAGTTATTTTTAATCTGTAGCCCTTCACTGGGGCTAATACTGTGGCTTGAAAAATGCTGTTAAGTTGTTAGCTTTGTGCCATTTAATGAAAAAGAAAGTTGTTTTTAAGTTACTGCATTACTTGCTGGCTTGTGTTCAGTCATTTTTCTCCCCATGACACATCCATTTGAATTTGCTGCTGAACAAGTTTTTACTCATGAAAGTTTATCCCATGTTTAAAAGGAAAAAATATGATGCTTTCTTTACCTGTAAGGGCCAGGGTTGAAAATGAGCAATGTTCTAATGTAACTTTGCTGACCTTCATGAGTAATTCTCTTATTAAATAGGGTCTGCCTTTGTTGAGTCATCTTTCTTTGCTGTTTCCAAATCTAAGTGTCTTTTTCTTTAATAATAATAAAAATAAAATGTTGTGTCTTTTGTGATTTATTTAGAGTTTGCTAACTTAATTATTACACTGTACCCTCTTAATGCTTATTTTTTTATTAGGCTTCAAGAAAAGCACACAGTTGATATGGAACAAATCAAAGAAGAAGCAAATGAACTGAGGAACATATTGTCTCAGAAGGAGAAGGAATTAGCAAATGTTAAAGCTGAACTGGAGGTCCAAAAAGAAGCAAATAATAGAGCACCCACAGCAACCCTGAAAAACCTGGTGGAACAGTTGAAGAGCCAGTTAGCGATAAAAGAGAACCAGCACAAAGTTAGTCAACAAAAATTAATCTCTATGTCACTTAAAGACTAAATTTTTCATAATGCTTAAGAATTCTTTATATAGCTGAGCAGGAGATAGAATATAACTGCATAACATGCCAAAGTAAAATATAACTGCCTTTTCTTGTTTTGTAGCAGCATCTTCACTTACAAAAAAAATTGAATTAATTATTTTCAGGCTTTGAGTAGAGCACTTCTAGAGCTCCGAGCAGAAATGACTGCCAATGCTGAACAGCAAATTATTTCTGCTGCGTCACAAAAAGAGGCACAGATGAATGTCCAGGAGATTGTTGACAAACAAACCAAGGGGCTTATGGTGAGTACTAGGTAATGTCATTGTACTGCTTTGTTGTGTTTTACAGGAGTTGGGGAAAAAGACTTCAACCTGATTTGGTGCTTTTGCTGACTTTTTTGTTTCCTTCTAGACACAGATAGAGGAATTGAATAATCAGATGATAAGACTTACAGAGAACCTTAAAATAAGTAAAAGCAAGGAAGCTTTGTTGTCTGATGAAAGGGATGAGTTAAACCAAGAGTTTCAGAAGAAAGAAAAAGCACTTGCTAAAATATTGAAGGAAAAAAATGAAATAGAAAAAGAAAATGAAGAACTGAAGAACCGAATTAGGAGGCTAAGCAATAGCATTCAGGTAGAAGTGACTTTTCAAACTATGTTTGATCTTGGTCAATTTTCTGTATAGATGAACTGGTTTGGGGGGATGAAAGATTTAAGTATCTTACACTTGATTAAAAAATTTATTTTTTGCTCATCGGGTGGGTAACATGTAAGATATTAGCTTGTTTCTTTGCCTCAGCTTAAAAAGAAAAGTAATTGCATACTTCTTGAAATATGTTTCTGAGAGTCTGAGGAGCTGAAAAACCACTTTCATAGCTTATTAGAAAAATGGTATTTTGTCTTCTTCCGGGCTCTCCTTATTTCTCCTTTTGGAAGAAAAGTAAGGGATTTACAGAAGATTCTATCTATTTTTTAAAATTCAACTACTTGCTGCTGATTATTCAGTTCAGAGGGAAAAGTTATGTTCCAATATTTTAATAATTTAAAGATAATTTTAAAAAAATCATTTAGGTTTTAAACTAATTTTACCAAATTGGAATTAAAATCCTTATTTTTTGACTGGAGAAAAAATTCAGTAGTCACTAAACTTGAAGCTGTAAAAATTTGTAATTTTTCAGAGCAAAGCTGATGAACAAAATCTGGTAGATGTGCTTCAGAAAAAAATTAAGAAGTTGGAAAGTGACCTTGAGAAAAAGTCTGAGGAAACAGAAAAGAAGGGTCTAAGAGAAGACAAGGTATGTGACTTTTATATCGTGGCTTTGAAAGAGCTCATCAGCTGAGGCCAAGGTTGTTCGCCTCTCCCTATTTCTTCTAAAACGCACCAGCCAAACTTGACCAGAATAAAAGCAGTTTCTTGGCTGCAACTTTTCATCTTTCCCATGCTCTTTGTTACTGCTCTTGTTACTTAGTATCCTAATGTTCTCCTGCCTTTTTCTAATGGGTGTTTAATTCTACAAAATCTTAGAAAACTAAGATTTTTTAGGTAGTGTTGAAATTGATTACATGAGTCCTGCCAAATGTGTTTTTGTGAAATCAATGCAATAGCAAAAGCATCAAATACTGAGGAACAAAAGAGTGAATCTTAAAAGGGATGATGTCTCTGTAAGTGATTATTCTTGACAATTGTGATCTCTTCATACAAGAAGTTCTGAGTGATTAGAGTTAATCACTCAAATTTAATGTTAATTTGTAAGTTTTTTGCTGGTTTCTTGCTTGTTACTATGTCAGTAACTAATTAGTGGCTGCTCATATTAATTATAAAGTATGCTGGAATATTGTAGCATACTTGTGTAATGAGAGTCAGACTATTGATGTATGATGTGAAATATTATTCTACAACTGCACATATGCTTTCAATTAATTTGAAATGTTTTAAATACCTGTTGCTTTGTGTCTAGAGGTATATTTCTCACACTTGGCATGCATTTTTCCTGTTTTCCAAGATTTTCTTTTCATTCTATCGCTTCATAGCAGTAACTGTTTACAACAAAACCAGAAAATGAAGTACAGGGAATAACCAGAGAAGGAAAAATTCTGACTAAAAATAAACAAAGAAAACCCCAAACCAAACCCAAAATTTTCTACAGGAATATTGACTGTGATTTTTCAGTAGCTGTTTGTGATTCTATAAGTACAGGTTTTAACCAATGTACAATTGATAGTTACTGAGTTATTAACTCTAAATAGAGATTCTGTTTCTTGTAGAAAAAGAAGCTGTGCAACAGGGGCCTGCAAGCCCCTGGTGCGTTGTAGAAGACAGATCTGTTGTAAATTGCCATACAAAAAACCTACTTTGTCTTAAACCTAATGTGTCATTTGAAGTAAAAGGGCACATTGCACTAGCACCTCTAATTTCATGAAATGCTTCACTTATTTTTTTGTAAAATGAGTATTAAAATCTAAGGAAGAATTTGGTGGGAGCAATCAACTGCATTAGCTTTATCCACCAATCACAGCAGTGTATCCAGCTGAACCTGCTACTTAGCTATGGCAAATAATATATGCCTGCTATGGCTTCCTGCTTTAAACTGATAAATGAAGAATGTATCATTCTTAGCTTTCTAATGTGTTTGCTTGTTTTGCTGTAAGAGAAGAAATCAAAGGGAAATACAGAATCTATTTATGTTCTTCACAGACCTCCAAGGAGGAAATAATTAGATGGGATGAAGGTAAAAAATGGCAAATGAAAATGGAAGGATTGCGGAACAAACTAAGGGAAAAGGAGAAAGACGCAGATGCTTTATCCAAACAGTTGAATACATTGAAGGAAATTTATACAAAGTGAGTTGGATTTAATTGATTCAGCTACAAAATGATGACATAAGGGAAATACAGATGTATTTGACATACAGTAATTATAAGATAGATGGTGAGAATATGATATTGCTGTTGAGACTAAAAGGATTAGTTAATTTTCAAGCAGCAGGCTGCTGACTCTTCTAGTATACTTTCCCTTGTGGAAGCCAACTACCTGTATTAGAAGAAAGTGTCTCAAGATAAAATTAAGTCCTTTATTAAGCTTCCTGGTTTAGCATTCTGTGATTAAAGGAAATAACAGCTTTATGAAGACAGGCTGTTTCTCACAGTGGTGTTATTTAACCAGGCTGCTAGGACTGGATACTTCTAGTGTTACTGCAGTAATGACAGTTCTAGGATTGTGAATTGGAAGCCTTTTCAGGAAACAACCATATTCATATGCTCTGCAGATGTTTACTTCAGTGAAGTAATGGCAAGATTTTACTGATAAAAGATGTGGGGGTGATTGTAGCTGTTACTAAATTGTGATTTGAAACTGCTTCAAAATGGCTCTTATTCTTAGCAAGTCTTGCCTGAATTTCACATAGAACAAGGCAAGACCAACAAGTGGTTTATGATGTGCATGATACTGACTTCATGTCCATTGGGTTTTTTTGGGTTTGATAGAGATTTTGGTAAGGCTGTAGTGTCTACACAGTAACCTTATTAAATAGAAGGCAGATAAAATGCAAATGTGATTCTTTAAGACAGAAAATATTTTCTACTCAGGAAAGCAGTTTAGCAAATAAGCCTTAAAATGTAAATTTACTGGATGTTGCAGGAGTGAAAAAGAGAAAATTGCTCTGCAGAAGAAACTGAAAACTACTGGCGTCACTGTTGACCGTGTTGTTGGAGTAAGAGCCACAGAAACTGAAAAAGAAGTGGAAGAACTAAGAAAACAGAATCTAGAGTTAGAAAATGAAGTTGCACACTTGAGGTGAGAGACTTTTTAAAAAAATATAAAAAAGTGAGAAATATAAATTAGTAAAAAAATATGTGGAATGAGATAGTCTCTAATAAGCAACCTGTAATGCAAGAAGGAAAAAAGAAACAGGAATTTAAAAATTTTTAAAAAGAGTCCATAATGAGCAAACTTAAAAGTATTTGGGAGCAGTTGTGCATGTTCAGAGAATATGCAGCATTGGTTCATTATTCTAAAAAGCTAAATAATGTAAAAAACATATGGCTTCTATTGCGAAAATTTTAACTACAGTTTAGAGTTAGTGAAAGTTACTGGAACTGCTAAGTGCAGTTAGGAAGTGCTTAACCAGTCATCCTGTATTACCGTGGATAATGTACCTGAGTAATAGAAACTGTATACATCTGAAAAGAGCAAATTCCTTTTGCCAAAGCAAGTATCTTCCATTCATTGGGATTAGTTGAAATACAGCCAACGTTGATTCAGAATAACTGACTTAGAAACACTGGGAAAATCCAGTGCAGAAATCCAGAATTTCACAGTGCTTTTACATTAAGGGATGTTTTTCTGCACTAATAGCCATTTGTCTGTTGTTTTGGCTATTCATTTTTGATGTAGAACACTGCAAGCAATCCCACGAGACTCTGTTGTGGAAGATTTACACTTCAAAAATCAATACCTCCAGGAAAAGCTTCATGCATTGCAGAGACAATGTTCAAGAGAGACATTTTTGAAACCCTCGGTAAGTTAATTATGTAACCATAGTACATAGAATACTGCTTAGGAAAAGTATTTGTTTTCTATTTGGTATTCTATGTAATTTATCTGGTTTTATTTAAATGACATTATCCTACAGCAGGATACGATATACTCAGCTTTTAGTGGTTTTAAAAAAACCCAACAAACCAAACACCAAAAACCCCCAGATCCCCAAAACTTAAAATTTCTGTGTCCTACAGGTAGAAGATGGAATATTCAGCATCCTAGCATATGTGGAGAAATAAGGAAAATATATTTTTAAACATAAGTCTGCAACTAAGAGACTACTTTTATATTATATAGTGATTAAAAATTAATGATGCACAGAGTCTGGGGAAATACTGAGCTATATTTCAGTTACACTAGGTGGTTTTGTCCCACTTGGATTTTTACAAGGCTGCTTACATTGCAAATTTTGCATTGTTAAGTTTTCTTAAACTTTCAAGAACAGACTTAACGGTACATTGTAGTTCCCTTTATTTCCTGTTTTCTTTTACTGTGTTCTGCTTTTCTTTCATGCTTCACTCTATCTTCAACTTGACTCAGAGTACATGTGACCAAACTGAACTTACCAAGTCTCTTCCTATCACTGTCAGTAAACAAAAGTATCTGAATTTCCTTCACAAGAAATCTATTTCAAATAGGGCTGAAATCAAACATCAGACTAATAATAGAGTTACTGATGGCAGTGAAGTAGATGAGGACACAGACATGCAAACATGCATCATGCCTAATGAAGTCCAGCAGGCTGCTGCAGATGTAAGCAGAGAAGTGTCTCCTGAAGAGCACCCTGAAGATGGTGAGAAATGCAAGGACACAGAGATTTCTAGGGAAGGACTGAAAACCAAAATTATAGCTGAAGCTGGTAAAGAGAACTGTGGTGAAAAAGAAGAAAATATAACCCAGCCTGAAAATGGAAAAGTTAATGAGAAATGTGAAGAAGAAGAAGAGAGGAAGCAAGAAATCTTCAAGCAATCAAATGTCAGTGAAGAAGAATGTGTAGAGGAGCCTGATGCTGACAAAATGAGCTGCAATCAGTCTGCTTCAGGGCAACCTCCTAATCAATCTAATGACTGTGAAGCAGAGAAAATAAATATGAATAATGAAATGAATCAACACACTGCAGAGAATAAACAGGAAAATGACCGAAGCTGTACAGAAGGGATTGAAACTACCCCAGAATGTTGTGAAATGCCCGAGGTTTGATACTGTAGTGGCCCTCTAGCATTTCTTCAGTACAAATGATGTAGAAATAGAATAGTTTGATCTTGATAAAGCAGTGCTTTCCTGTGCATGGTCTGAAGGGATATTGAAGTACTCACCAAGTGGTCCATAAAGCAAACTTTATACTTTCATGATAGCATGCATGTCAGCTTGCAAGTAAGCTACTGTCAATTCTAAAACTTGGATCCAGAGAGTTTACAAATAACCCTAAAGATACATGGAGCTAATTGATGTCCTTCATTCTTTAAGAGACTTATGATATGTTATTATTTACACTAAAAAAAAAAAGCTTTAATGAAGGAAATACTTGATTGCTCTAGTTAGTGATAAAGTAATGAATCATACAGTTAATTCCCAAATTACATAAATAAAAACCACTGATTATTAAATTATTAAAAGGTTTTACTCTTTACTAGTCAGGCATAATAATTTACCGTATCACTATAATTTAGTTGGCACTATTAAGTATGCAAAACTGTCTTTGTGTAGTTGAAATCACTATCCTCCATGGAGAAAGACTTAAGATTTTGGGAACTAACAGATTCAATGAGAGTTACATACTACTATTCCTGGCTTGTTCTCTGCTCCGTTTGACATAATTGAAATTTCTTATGACATATGTGCTACTTAAAAACTATCAGAATGTGCCCTTAAAATTAGATGCTGTTCCCAGGTACAGTGTCACAGCTTACTTCATTCAGTAGCTTCTTTATCTTTTAGTCTTTGAGGTTTACTTCTACAGAAGAGTTTGAGAAGTAATTTTGGTTTGATGAAATTTTTATGATTTATACTGATCCGTAAACTTCCCTTAAAGGTTAAGCAAGTTTAAGAACTGTAGGAGAGGGTGGTAAAATCAAAGCAGATTAGATCAAAACTGGTAATAATGCTTTCTTTTTTAATTTCTGTGGAAAATACTAGTTTTCTGTTGCTCTTAATCAGCTACAACTGATAGTTGTATTGAATTAGTACATTACCATTTAATAATAATTTTCCCCCCTCTTTTCTCAAGACATCAGCAACAGGATCAAGTGATCAGTATCGAAGACAACAAGAAAAGGAAAATTTAAGATTGTCATCTGAAAACATTGAGCTAAGATTCCAAATAGAGCAAGCCAAGAAAGATTTGCCAAGACTAAAGGTGACATCTTCTTACTTTAGTCCCTACCCTCACACTGGTCAGGGAATTGCTTAAAAATAAATGTTTTTTGTTTTTTTTTTCCTGTACATACTGTAAATTTTCATGTTTTTACAGAAGATGAGAAGGTTGAGTAGGTGGTAGAAATAATGGAAAATGTCATTGAGATGGGCAATTGTTTTCTCTTAAATTTTTCCAAGTAAAAGCACTGTAATTTTGTTCAGCAGTTTTTCACCTCAATTTGAGATCTGAGTTGCTTATTACTTTTTTTTTTTTTGCTTGTAGGACCAAGTAGAGGATTTGAAAGAAATGTGTGAACTTCTCAAAAGAGAGAAAGCAGAAGCTGAACGAAAGCTGAACAGCATTAGAGGGGTGAGTATTCTAACAGCACTTTTATCATAAGTAAATGAAAAAAAAAATGAAAAAAACCCTTAAGTATTATTGAAGCGAAATCATTTGGAATCAACCAAAACCAAATATGAATTGTTATATTTCATTTTATTGACAAAATGATACAATGAATTAATGACATTAACAGGACCATTAGAATGACTATTAAATATTTGCACTATCATGGCCTTATTTTGTCATTTGGATTAGTTACCTTCAGAAGCATATTTGTACAATAAATACCAGTTACAGCCGTAATAATGAAAATTATATTCATGTATTTGTGTAAATTATTTGATGCAGATGTAGAAAGGGTAAGTTACTGTTAGTGAAGTTTTTTATTTGTTGTAGTATGGAAGGTGGCATAGCTGAATTTTACCCTAGCTACTGTCAACTACCTTAATAGAACAGTATTTCCAAAGTTAAAGGGAAAAAAGTACTCAGCAGTGTGTCTCCTGTGGCTCACTTATCAAACTATTTGTTTTCTAGAGAAAGCCAAACTAATAAAAGCTCCGAAGTGACTTTGTAGCTCAGTATGCAAGAAGAATTGATTTCTGCTTCTGCATACCTGGAAAAGATCAGATATTTTTTATTATTTTACTTATGCTTTACATGGACTGCTTGTGTGCCTGTCTCTCTTATGCAGTGGTATTCTTGGACAAGAAGATTCAGTTTATACAACTGTTTCATGCAAAGGTTCTGAGGAGAAAGCAAATTCTGAATCTTTCTCAATTCACAGCCAGCAAGATGTGACAGTTTTTCTTTAACTCTGCTGTGTACCAACACAAACCTCCTAATCCCTCCAATTATTTTAAAGAAAAATAAATACTTTTAAATAATGAAATTTGGTCACTATATACATTTATGTGTAAGTCCAGGGAGTAAAATCCTCCCCATTTTCCTTATGAGATCACCTTATGGCCCCAGAACTAGAATCAGAAGTATCTTTAAATTATAATTGGTGAGGAAATTGCTACAAAGAGGATGAGAAAATAAATGGATTTGAAGATTCCCTAAAATATTTTTTAACTCATTAATTAATGTAGTGAAGCAAGGAAAATAGAGAAATTACAGTATTTTCCCCTACATTTATTTATTTTTCATTTTGCAAGAAGAATATATTCCTTTGGAAAGGGAGATGTTTATGCTTTAATACATAGTTCTTCTGTCACTTTAATTCAGAAGAAGGGTTGCTAAAATAGGGCCCTCTTTTCTTCCCTCAAGCCTCCAGCCCAGCATTTTTCCCCAATGCCCCCAACAGTAATTGCATGGTCTGTTGGATTGGGGAATTTTTCTACAAGAAAAGCTAAATAAATTAAGTAGTTCTTTGATTTATTTTCCTAATGTTTCAGTTTAGTTCACAAGTACAGCAGATTTTGAGACTTAACTGCAGCCCTTTAGGGTAATGTAGAAAATGAAGGAGTTGATTTGTTGACTTGGGGAATTAATAAATAATTAGATATTTTGGTGAGGTAAGTATGCTGGAAATTCTAGGGTTCAAGTCATATTAAAAGAAAGCATCTTTTTTCCTATAAATATTAATTGCAATGGGAAAATAAGCAATAAAGTAAGATTTGGAGTATCTCAGAACGTTAAGATGAACAATTTGCTCACTTTTTTCCTTACCCCTCTGTAGGCTGGTAGAAGTGGAAAGACAGTCCCAGAACTGGAAAAAACAATTGGCTTGATGAAAAAGGTTGTAGAGAGAGTCCAAAGAGAAAATGAAGAACTGAAAAAAGCTCCAGCTGTGGTTTCTAATGAGAAATTACTTGGTCTTGAGCAGGAAAATGAGAGGCTAAAGGTACAGTTTTATCTCCAGTAACTATATATAGGTAACAGTTTATATGCAAGTTAGTAACAAAATGGAGTACCAAGCCTGTTGATACTGATTGGCACAAAACTGTTTTGAAAATGCCAGATATTAAAGATATAGAACAGAAAGGCAAAACTTCATTTTAGCCTAATATACTGCACAGTTTAAGATACTTTGTACCTTAAAGGTATATTTAACTATGTGATAAAATGTTCACTGTGCTAAGTAGCTGTAACTATGGTGTGCTTTAAAAATGGAAATCTGAAATCTTCTAAGTGATGTAAATGTGTTTCAACAAATTGTTTGATCTTTAGTCTGAAATGGAAAAAATGAAACTTGATCTGGAGGGCCAGCTGAATGTGCATTATGAATCTAAAACCAAAGGAATGGAAAAACTCATTACTGAAAATGAGAGACTGCGTAAAGAACTGAAAAAGGTATAATCATTTTAATGCATCCCTTTATTTCCACTAGCCACTGGTTATGGTAAGTATATGGTTTTTATTTTTCTTAATGGTCAGTATAACACTGATATTGCCATGATAGTTTTATTTCACTATATGTGGAGAGGAGGTATCCAAGGGCCAGCCCAAGACCAAATCTGGAAGTTGCAGTGCTAGTAGCCTAGGATGCAGTTTTCCTCTACATCAGCACTGACCCTCTCTCACTGTCATTTGAGATACTTCCTGCGAGGTTAAATATTCCATAAAACTTTGCTTTTATTGAACAATAGGAAGCTGACAGTGGAGAGAAGCTACGAATAGAGAAGAATAACTTGGAGATATTAAATGGGAAGTTAAATGTTCAGCTGGAGGAAACCATTAAGAAGCTAAATTTGGCTGAGAGCCAATTTGATGGAGCTGACAGCAGAAACTGGAAGTCCATTGTAACAAGGTAGGAATTGAGAATGTAATAAGAGGACAGAAAAATGGTGCAATGCTTATGCTATTAAGAGAAATAAACAACCTGTGTCCTGCATAAGGATGGCAAAGAGCAATTTTTTGGTAAGAAATACTTAGTCCTGGACTCCTGGGTGACTTCAGGATGAAGTAAGTTGATGTGTTGCAAAGTACTCTTTAAGAAACAGAAGTGGAAGGTATCTACAAAATCAGAACCTCTGACAGTAAACTTGTTAGGGCATAAAATCAGCTGGACAGGAGAGAGACTGTGTCTAATTTCATCTTAGGTGAGATCACTGTTGATGCACAAGATTTTACTCCCTTCCCAGTCTTGCACTCCCACAGGATCCCTTGGGTGGTCTAGTGCTACTCTGACATATTGCTGAGCCATTTCTTCATTGAGACCTCAAAAAGCCATTTGGTTGTTTTTAACCTTCCCCTGAACTATCAGTGAGGTAAAATGTCTCTATGCAAGGCCAGATGACAGCCATAATTTGTCTAAGGAAGGAGGGCAAAACCAACTGCAGGACAGGACAGAAGTAGTTAATGGATACAGCAGAGACGATATGAGCATGCCATGAAGATCATAGGTCCTTAACAGCTGGCATATCAGCTCAGCAGTATTCATGCATTTATTCTTTTTGTTCTTCACCTCTCTGAAAAACATTTCTACTTGGTTCTATTTAGTTGAGACATACATAGTTATGTAGAGGTACAAAATACATGGTCATGTTTAATTGTACTTGCCTCTTTCAACTCATGTGAATAAAGCCTTCTCTTTGCTTTCACTTTAACATGAATTTAAAGTAAGTTAATAACATAATGACCTTACTAACCTAAGAGAAGCTGCTTGTGGAACTTTAACATGCAATCCACAGCACATCTACCAATGCATACACAGGGTAATAGTGTTTCTTAGGGCAGACAAAGGGGTGTCACCCCAGTGACCCTTCAGAAGACTCTGGCAGATAGCAAAGTGTTGGACACTGTATTGCTATCTGAAAATCCAGATGGATTCAGATGGGAGACTGGGCTACGTGACCTCTAGAGGTACCTTAAAACATTTCAAATTCTACACAAACCTTTTTGTAGCCTCGTAAAGCTCAAAGCAAAATGGAATCTTCCTCAGACTGCTCTTCCTCCACGGTAAACAATTTACTGCAGAATAGTTTTGGCCTTGCAGTCTTCATCTTCTCTATCTATATTAGCCCTTTTCTCAGTACCTTTTCCATAAATTACTAAATCATTAAAAAAATACTTCCAAAGGTATAACACTGAGGTAAGATCCAACTACTGTACCTTATGTACACTTTTAGCACAGGTGTTTGGGGTTTATGTGCAATAGCATAAAAAGGTTCCTGTCCCTCTTTATTGAAGTGTAGACACAAAAAGAGAACCACAGAAGTGTAGTATCTAGAAAAGCCTTTATTTATTCTAGGATTAAAGATGTGTTTCTCATTATGCTTCTTTCAGCAAACTGTATTTATAAGGCCAGTAATTATTTCAAGGCCATATTTTAGGGTGTATTTATTCTCCTAAAGATATTTTAATCTCTGTTTCTGCATAAGTATTAACTTTTGCTCTTATTTTTTCTAAATGAAAATACTGCCAGAATGCAGGAAACTAAGTTGAAGGAAATGGAAACGGATATTGCTAAAAAAGCCCAAAGCATTGCAAACCTTAAACAGCTGCTTCAGGAAGCAAAAGAACGTGAAAACAATGCTGATAAAAATTTACAAGATCTAAAAGAACAAGTGAGTAAAATTTAGCTAGATAACTCTGAAAATAGAATGCTTAATTTGTCTTTGTAATGTCTGTAGTGGCAGAATACTTGTTTTTTCTCCAATCCTTTATTTTATAGGTTTTTTCAGTCATAGTTGCTATATTTACATCTTTTAGCCAATTAATGAGGTTTATCACATATTATCAATATATATTCTTGACTTGCAGTCTGAGGAAAACTATTATTTTTCTACTGTGTTCTTCTGTACTTTCAGTGATGACATGAAAGCCTGTAGATAGATGCTTCAAAAGGTCTTACAATCTTTCCAGCTTGTTCTGCAGTGAGGTTGCTGCAGAGATTTCCCTATTCCCTCCAGTTTGTTTTTTTGGGAGGCAGGAGAGTATTGAGTTTGCTATCCCAAACAGAATCCTCATTTCTGTTTCCAGTGTGCCCTCTTATGTGCAGTCTCCAGCAGTCTTACAAGTACTTTTGTACATGTGGAAGAGTTGATGAATTTTCAACTCAGGTACCTTTGAAAAGATGTATCATGTTTTGGCTTTTAAGTACAGAGGTGCAGTCCTAGAATTGCCCCTACATTAGCTTTTATCTTCTCATTTATTTATATGCAGATGATTTTCTTCGCAGGTACCTGGTACTGGTGCTTCTCAGTGTAAGGTATCAAATACAAAACTTCCAATTTGGGAAGTAATAATATATATATATTATGTAAGGAAGTAGATGTGTTCAATAAATAGAACTTGGAATTGATTCCTGTAAAACAATTACTTTGTTAGTTTTTCCTTGGTTTTCCTTTTCTAACATCAGTGTTACTAACATGAAGTATATACCAGCAGCAAATTTAACACAGAGATAGAAGTATTACTCTGGGAGCAACACAGTTTCCAGTTTCTTTCACGTGTCAAGTACTGATGAAGGGATGAGATCAAAGTTAACTGCATTTCAAAAAACAGAGCCTGATTGTGTAAAAAAAAATAACCCAAATCCTTACCATGTTAGGTAGTAACAGAACAAAAACCTGTCATTGCCAGTAGCCTCATGTGAGTTCATGAACTGTCACTGCATTTATTACCTGTATATAATCACACATTTAAACCACTGTTGTGCTCCTGCATCTTTACGAGGCATCTCTTTCAGAGGCTCCCTCCCTCTCTGGTCAGGGACCTCTTCTAACTTAACTGCAGGTCACCCCTACTCACTGTGCCCTCATTGGGGTTGTCATTGCAAATCACAGGGTTTTCGTACACTCTTTTAAAATGAACTGGAAGAACCATGTGCAAATAAGCACATCAGTAATATTTTTAAAGCATTTAAATTATTTAGGCATATCAATTCCTTATGCATATAAGGAATTGATATGCCTAAATGTATACTTATGTATACACTACGTTGGAGTAGCTATGTATCCAACCTTCTTTGTCAGTCTAACTTCTAAATACTTATTTCTTCACCCTTCATGAAATATGTAGCAATGATCTTTACAAACTTTGCAAAGGCTGCCAAGAATGAGCTTTGTGTGTAGAAACTGTACAGGAACAATTTATTTTTTTTCTGATAGCTTAATGTTTGGTTACATCCTTAGTATTATTTTAATTCTTTTTTAATCTTGTATTCAAGAGAACTCTATCTGAACTGCATTGCCGTGGATATTGTTTTCAAGAATAAAACTTCCTTAATTTTTCTTTTAAGATTGAGCATCTTAAACGTCTTCCTGAAGGTGCAGGGACAGAGCAAAACATCATGAAGGAGCTTCAGCTTTTAAGGTAACGTACTTCTAAACTAAGTAAACCTCAGCCAATATACATGAAATAAGATCAGGAAATGACCACTGCAATTTTTAGTTAAGTATTTTATGTTTTAAAATATTTTAATAATTTTTTTTTAAATCTAATTTTTTTTAATATGCCAGATCAACTAATAATCAGTTAGAGAAAGAAAAAGCAGAACTACTACATCAGATGAAGGCTTATAAGAATGAAAGACACACCTCTACAAGTGAAGGTCCTGCAGCTGGTAATAATTTTCAATACCTTAAAATAATGATCTTCATGTATTTAGAGTCTAAAACTACTTAATATGTGTGTGCAAAGTGATAGTAAATCTACCCAATTATTTGAAGTAGATTAACGCTGAAGTAGTGTAAAGTGAAGCAGATTAAAGTCTTGGATTTTCGAGTACGTATACAAGCTTTTTGAAAAGAATTTTCAGTAAAAATCTCCATAATCAATTAATTTGAGCAACAGGCTGTAAACTTTGTATGATTTTCCCCTCACAAGAAGGTGTTTAGTTCCTGCTCCCATCTGTTTTATTAACCTCAAAAGACTGTAAGATGTCATTCATTCATTGAAATCCTCTTTCCTGCACCTCTGGCTTTGGGTTCCAAGATGCTAGTGTTTATTTCCAGTTACCAGCTCTGTGAAGGATTTAAGACCTAGCAGGCATTAGTCCCATGGGAAAAGTAGAGCACTATGGAGAAGCGCACTGCCATATGACTGGAGAAAAAAAAAAAAAAACAAAACAAAACTAACCTTATGGAAATCATGAATATATGCAACAAGATCCTTATGGTATTTCCAAACTTCCAACATTTGATTCAGAGGAGGTGTACAAGTTGTATTTCTCAAAGGCATGCTAAAAGACTGGCCACTGGGCTACTGCATTCAGCCACAGGAACTACACACCACTGCCTAACTGGTACAAGAACTAAGGAAAAGCCAAGGTGACTTCAATGTTTGGTGATTCCAGTTGGTTTTATTTAACTGTTTCAGCTTTTAGGACATGCAGAACTATTGAAACAAGATTATTTGTACCATGGGTTTTCACTACTTAAAATTTCATTAAAAATCTTTATTTTTGCAGGACATAATGAAACTGTAGAGGATAAAATTGACAAACTACTGAAAGAAATTGATGACCTCCAGTCACAGCTGGAGGTTTCAGAGCTCGAAAAACAGAAATTAAAGGTGAGCTGCAAGGACCATCCTAGACAAGATAATAAGCAAAACTGTGGTTAGCTAGAAAGAGCTGTTTAATAGCTGAATTAATATTTAATGACAAAGTCAATTTTTAAACATTGTTTACAAAGCCTATTTTGTTTTTATGAAAGTACTGTTTATGGGTAGAGTTTTTTGCTTCTAGACAAGATCATTATTCCTTTATCATATAATACCTCAAGAAAAAGGCAAAAAAGGTGTTGTGTGGTATTAGCAAAGTTCTGGATAAAGTTGGTACTCCTTCATTCTTTTCAATAGGAAGAGACAAAAGAGCTGAGAAGAGAACTAGAGACCTATAATCCTTCCTTTTTTGAAGAACTTGAGGATCTAAAATATAACTACAAGGAAGAAGTAAAAAAAAATATTATCTTGGAAGAGAGATTGAACCAGCTTTGTGAAGAGTTTGGCCTTCAGGATAGTCCAGGCAATATTTCTGTTGATTAGGGTAGCGTTTCGTATCCTCATCATTGATACAAAAAATAAAACTGTCTGTTTCTCTTGGAATTATACAAGTCTCTTAAAGTTATGTTAATCTGCACACACCTAAGAGGGCAGAATTGGATTATTCAACAGTTAATTGTCAGTATTTATATACAACAGTCAAAACAAAAGCAAGTTTTATCTCTCCCAGCTCTTGTGCAATAATCTATTTTTATTCAAAATAGTTAATTTGGATAATAAGGTGTCAGGTGAAATTGCAACTTTGGGCTTCTTTTAAAAATTAATAAACCTTTAAACTGTCAGCATACTAAGTATGCTAAATCCCAGATCAGTAAGATTATGTAATTTGCTCTTGTTGTCATGTGCAACCATAATGTTTAACTCTGAACTCAGGGTGAGTGTACTGGATGCCTGTTCTTACATTCCTGGTTATTTTTACCTCAATGTTAAAAAATCCAAGAACAAAGAACTGAAAATGAAGCTATAGTATTTCAGACAAACCACTGGTATTTTTGTACATAATTGATTTTTCATTTTGTTTATTTTATATTGCTGGATGTATAGTTTTATAGCAGAGATGAAATAAAGCCAACTCAAATGATCATTCAGTCTCACCTTTATTATTTATATATCTTATCTTACTTAATATGCCTGTGATGAAGTTTCCCAATTGAGACACAGTTGTAAATAGGAATTACTAAGCCAAGTCATGTCTCTCTCCACTTATTAGGCTCTCCAAAATAAAACTAGAGTATTTTCTATTATTTACTCTTTTTGTCCCAAAATAGTGCAAGTGCCTGTAGGATATAGGTTAACTGGGTTTTTAAATAATGCTGCAGATGTACAGTTAAATGATACCAGGAAGTTTTCCCCTGTAAGAAACTGTTACAAATTTTTAAAAAATTTAGGACTAATTCTGGTCCCAACTGAAATATGTCTTTTTACAGTTAAGAAGCTTGATGCTAAGTCTCAAACCTACATACAACAGTGTCATAATAATTACATTTGTAGAAACACAATCTATGTAACTTTCCCAGTTGATCGCATTCATTAGTAAAGCTTTTAGGACCAGCCAGTGGTAGAAAACATACTTCCTACACTTAATGCTAACAGTTTCCAGGAATGTGTTCAGAAGTTAAGGATTTTTCATAAAATAAACATGCTAGAAGTTAGATCTCTGCTCTGGCTGTCATATCTCTGTTATTTAGTCATTTAGGACAAACTTAAAATGATACGGTAGTACCTGGGCTGTTGCCTAAGCTAGAAGAGTATTCATGAAAAATTTTGTGATAGACACAAGTAAAAGGAATGCAGGACATATAACAATTAACTTAAAAAAAATAATAATTTCAAGCATCTAACTTGATATCTTTGAGTCGGTCAAATCTTTGTCCATCCAACATTGAAAAACGGTGAAACAAACTCTTTGGTTCAAAGTCATAGTCACATTTAGTTCCATTAAAAGAAATTACAACAGGCTGAGAATTCAGGTACGTGTCTGCAAGTGGCCAAGGTAAACCAAGATGATGGCGATGGAGCTATAAGAAAAGGAATGAAGGTCAGTTCAGCCATTTTGATAGAGTAATGCAAAAATTCCCAGCTTGGGAAGCGCGTGGGTGTCTGTGGATTCTAGGATCCTCTGCATCAGGGCACTTAAAACCATTAATAAGTTATCTCTATAACGTGAACAACAACAAAGCGCAAAAGGCAAACCAGAACCAAGGTGTCCTCCACAGTTTCAGAAATCGCATTCTTATTAATAATACTTGTTCTATTAGTCAACATTACGAGAACTTAATTTTTAAATAGAGGAGTTAAGCTTTAAAACTAATGATTTCTATAAAGAGAGGCAAGAAAATATGTTCTCAATTACTTCATAAGCATGTTGGGAATGAAAAAGTTCAATATGTTACATAGTCATTGTAGTGATTCAGCGGCTTTACTAATTGTACTGTCATCTCATTGGTTGGAGAACATTACTATTAAAGAATTTGGAAAAAAAGACAAAAAATTAATACAGTACATCACATTTTAGGAATTCTTACAGTGCTTTCCATGTGTCCATCTACATACTCACCTTGATTAAGCACCCATCATGGCAGTGCCACACAATTCCTTCAACTTTACCCTCCGTACAGCTTTCAAACCAAGAGAGTATGTCATTTTGCTTCAAGGCAGGTGGATTCTTTATTTCAAATGCTCCATGTGGGACCAGAAGATGTACAGGGTGCTTCTTGCTTCCCAATCCTATGTTTAAAGAAACAAATACCTTCCTTCTCGTTACTGTGTTTCTTCACTTTTGTTATTGCAGACATCTTAAAAGCACTCTGTAAACTTCTGTTAGATACTATGATATTGTCCTGCCTTTAACAGAACAGTTAATTAAATTTTTAAGTACCAAATGCAGCTGTCTCTCCTCACATTTTAATTAATATTTATTAAAACCTCCTCCTCTTTTGTATAAAATAAACATTACATAGATTTATACTGTCGTCTGTTTTTCCATTGTGGTCACCTCCTCAGTCACCACACCAGCTAAATCCTTCACACTTCAGATCACGATCAATGGTACAAATACCTTAGTTCCTGAAAATCTGCCATATCTTTTCATGACTACTTAAAACTGGGCTGTTAAAAACTGCATTGCCTTTTCCTGTTAACATAAATCTTCATTTAAGAAGGCAGCTATTAGAACTTTTTGTTGCAATTCTGGTACATACTGAGGAAATGCTTAGGACCAGGTAGGATTATTTTTCCTATCCATCCTTGCAAGTTATCCTAACAGCAAAGCACAGAAGTTAGAACTCGCTTGTGCTCGTATGTAATTGGTTTCTCATTATAAGGCCTTTAAAGGAAGAAGCCACAACTGAAATTTAGCCTGTATTACATTTCCTTAAAAAATGCCTGTTGTATCATTTAAAAACTGCAACTTGTGGGGCTCCAAAAACATGGCTGAATAAAGTTTTCTACTTCAATTCAAAACAAACTTTAAAAATTATACTAGTATTTTAACAGTAATATTTACAATAGTTTATCCAGTTAAAATATTTTTTGAAAGACAAAAGCAATGCATTTTTATAGTAACTCAGGTTTAATAGACATAACTAGTCCCATGACAACTCAGCTTTCTAAGGTGAGTATTTTTGGGTGACAGTTTCTTCAGCCTTTCTCTCCTTTCTAAGAAGGTTGCTACTGGAAAACGCTTTTAAAAAAACTTACACAAAGAAAATGCATTGATTTCACTCAAAAATACCACTTAAGAAAAAAAGAACAGACCATATAAACTTACCATATGGATTTGCATTGATATTAGTTCCAATAAGCTCCAATGTTTGTTCTAAAATTTCCGATAATGGCACGGGACTGATTTCCAGCAGCCCTGGGTCAGCATGGTGTTTCAATACCAGTGCTACTCCAGCCTCATAATTTATAACAGATGAGTGCCAGCAATACTGCTTACTGTTCTTCTCCACGGGCACCCAACCTATCAGAAAACACATTTTACCAAAGTAAATAGCAGAAGTTAATAAATGCATACTAGAAGCTGTTACAGGCATTAAAAAAAAACCCTACAGTTAACTACAAACAGAAAGAGTAAAAACTTGTGTCTTAGAAGAATGCAAATATGACAATTATGCCTTCAGCTGAAGGCCTGTAAGTTTGTACAGCAAACTGCAATTATTTCCATGTGTCACAAGAACAAAGCCTTTCTGGATAGTCAATGAATGATGTTCCAATTTTTTCTGAATATGATAACTATTATTTTTAACTCTGGAATTAATCAGAAATTCACACACACCTTTCCCCAGTTTTACCTGTGCTGCATCATAGGTACCTGGCATATGTCCATTTTCATCGGGCAAAGGATTGCCATTAGAGAACTCTATGTCCTTCGCTGGAATCCAGGTATCCGGAACAGGCTTGAAATCCTCTTCAATATTCCAAACAAATTCTAGACACATAAATGCAACACTTCATTTTTGGTAAACTGTTAACCAACTTTGCTTTAGTTGTCTGTCAATGCAATTATCAAAATAAGATTGATCTAAACCTTGTTTTACAGACAGTAGTCCCAGTTACTTTGTACAAACACCAACATCTGTCACACTCAAGTGGTTTACCATTAGGATAGTTTAAAGATGCCTTTAGCCTTTAAGAAGTTTAAAAGTTAAAAAATTCGGATTAAAAATTTAGCTACCTATTCAAGTTTAAAGCTCTTCAATGTAAAGGGTGATGTTAAAAAAACTGGAGCGGGATAACTGATTATTTGTTAGCCTAGTTGTTTTTCTACCTGGATAACTTACATTGTCAAAAAGAAAGACATTTTCACTAACCTTTGCAATCTTCCAATGAGTACAAGAATCGTTTAAACCTTTTTTCACCTTGTTTGGAGGGTTTTCGATCCAACCTGGCCCATAGGTAGGGTTGTCCTAGGAGTTTCCAAAGACAAAACCGTCACTTTACTGAGGTGACCATACCCTGCAGAGTACTGAAATCAACTACAGAACAGGCAAGACAGGAATTCCCATTTGTCACTAGAGAAATTTTATAGGCAAAGCCATCCACTCTTTAATTTCAAAGTACACTATGTGAATTTCCGAATCTATTTTAGATTCTGCGTACAGTCCCGCCTAGCATAATACAGAGTTTACATACAACTGCAGGTGAAGGCATGAGCCCCAGCGAGTCACTGAACCAGTCTTCTCATTTCCTCCCAACCTCTGTACTTCTATAAATCTTCCCCAAGGAAATTAGACACTCTATTATACATGACCCATTTTGCAAGGAAGATTTACTAATAGGAAGTTTAAAAACAAGAATAGTTCCTGGATGTTCACATTCACTTAAGTCATACTTCATGTATTTTGGAGAGTAAATGCTAGAACAACTTTAGAAACACCTTCTAAGTCTATGGTAACTATTACTTTGTGGTGAAGATGCTTTATGACACTTGAATTCACAACAGCTGTAAATAAATCATACAAAAAAGTGAAAACTTAGTAACATGAGTTCTAGTCAGATGAGAAATCTGCAAATGGATCTTCCTCATTACCTTTATATGTTGTTACATAGCAGCAGGTTCCATCCACTTTTTCAGTAGGAACTGCATTGTGTACATCTGCCTCTAATGCCTTTCCAGTTATAGTGTCAGTTGCCAAAACTTTAAATGGCTGAAAAGAAGACAAGTGGCTACGTTACTGCCTTGCTCTCATACAGATTCTTGCTCCTTTTACAGCTGACCTCTACAAATCCAGCTCTTTAAGTATTATAGGGCTGATTTCTAACAGTTTCTTCAAAACTTGATAGTTTGCAAAGTACTCTAAGACAGAAAAACTAGGGCAATCTGTTTCTAAAGTCTCTCCCTCTTTCCCATTCTTGGTTATTATTTAGAGATGATTTTGCTTTCCACTTTAAACAGGGCAAATAAACTAGAAAGGTTCCAGTCCAACACAGCAGCATTTCAAGATCCACCTTCCTGCATTAGGGTGGCAATAGAAATTCCTCATGACTAGCTCTCCCCAGCTTTCAGTTTGGAGACGGAAGTCAATAGCACCATGTTAGTGCAATACACAGAGCAGGCGTGCTTTTGCAAGGTAGCAAAAGC